GTTTGCTGTGGTTTTTTGGATGCGGCCGCTTCTGTCTTGCTGACCACATCGTGTATATATGCATGTAAACATGTAAATATTTACACCATCGTCCATAGCACTTTGCTCTCTGCAAGTGTTAGTGGGTCCCGACATTTTTAAAGCTTCGCCTGGAAATGGTCTGGCTTCATTTTTTTGGCACACTTTTCGAGTCACATTTACTTTTTTTCTTCTTATTATTGGCACGTTCACAGCTCAGATTTTTGTTGTTTCACATATTTCCATATTTCCATACTTTGATTAGTTTTGCGCATTATAAACAATCAAAGTGCGCCATTTTATATGCTTGAATTCATATTTGAATAAGCATTTATTTCGCTGAATAAATTACAATTCGTATGTCAGTTGTGCCTATCGGCTAGTGCTGAAAGTTATTTCCAAAATAGTTAACCAGAATTGCAGATATAACGAACAGCCATTGGTGAAATTATATTATGAAAATATTTCAATGTTGTTTCTGATGTGAAAACGTAATTTTAATGTGAATAGATGTCCTAAAATTACAGTAACAGTAAATTATACCTCATCTTTTTTTGAAACATACTGAAACCAGACGACTCACGTAAAAATAATGATTAAACTAACACCGCGCAAGAGAACACGACTACAGCTAAAATTTAAGGGAAACGTTAAATAATTTACCATTGTCTGTGTTAGCAGCTGCTGGGAGAACTTTACCTATAGGTTTACCTGAAATGTGCTAACAAATTATGTTCACACTTTAACGAAGGCCGAACTTCGACGCCTGGCCATATCGGCAGTCACTCGCCCACTATATCCCTCGCCTGGTTAGTGGGCCCCACAAATCATTCAGTGGCATGAATTATTGCTGGGGAGCTTAGAACGTGCTCACAGCGTTAAAGTGTCATTACTGGGCTTAATGAGTCAGCGGACTGCACAAAAAACGAGACAGAAACACATACACACAACGCTGGAATAAGATGCAAAAAATATGTGCAGAGAAGCCCGCAAAAAGAATAAAGAAGCCAAGGGCAACAGGATAGTAACAAATATGTAGCATGCAAACAGGGGCAAACTACATTGCTCTTTGTCTGCGTCTAATTTATGTTGCTAACGCTAATAAATAATACTTTTTCCTCCGACACTGTCGGTTTGCAATGAAGTAAGGAAAATGCTTCAGGATATCCTAATTATTAAGCTTTCTGAACATTATAAACTACAATTTCAATATTCCGCACATATTTTACAATTTATTTTCAGGTTAAAACACTAATATCATTAAAATAATATTTTTACTGTATTTGTCAAAATATATCCATATTATGAAAAAATTTTAATTTATATGTAATTCTGTAATTTTATTATAATTAAGACAATTTTTAATTAATTTACGAGAAGACCAAAAAACGGAATAATATTTTTATAACCACAGTATGCAAGAAACATTTTACTTATAACCCATTTTGTTTAAATTAAACAGGTTATTTTTTAAGTGACCACAATTTCAGCTGCTGATTAGCCACATCTTCATGTGTACGAGCGAACCTATTAACACTGATACGTCACGCTGCCTGTGGCTAAGTGCAGTATCAAGCATCTTGAGGCTGTGGAGCCAGGGGCACTATCGCCACATAAATTGCGGCACCCAAAATGCATAAACCAAGCATGTCGCGCAATCATTTTCAGCTGCCACGTGCCCCGGCATACATTTCGGGCACTTTATGGGGGCAGAGTGGAGTTTTGGCCTCATGCTACTTTGGCCAAAAGGGAACAAACAAATGGCCAGCGGCGGATGGGATGGGAGTGGCTGGAAAAATTTTAAAGCTGATTACTCAATAACTTTACTTGGGAGTGCATAAAATGCGGAGCATATCCTTCGAGTGCATAACTCCTTCGGCACTCCGTTCGCTGGAGAGCAGGAGCAGAGCTTTCAGCTGCCTGCAAGTCGCTTTATGTGCACTTAAATTGTGTTTGTTATTAAAGCCGGCGAGGATGCAGCTCCTCCGGAATCTGCTGCTGTTGTTTTCACTTGGACCAAATGAAATTTATGCTCAAATTGAGTTGCGTCCGTGTGCGTCGAAGTGTTTTGCAGGTAAAACGCAGTCAACGGCTCCCCCTTGGCAACCTTTTTCACGTAATTTGTGACACTTAAGTGAATAATTTATGCTTGCAACATAATTGAGTTGCACCTGCCTCCGTTTTCTGTCTTGACTACAACAGCAACCTTTCTTAGTGCCAAGCACTTAGAGGTCAGATGTGTACAAGAATGTATGAAAGACATTTGCGAGCGTGTACAAGTTGTGGACAACTTTCTATAAATATTTAAAATATTCGTATATCTACTTAGATAAATACTTTCTTATAAATGCTTTTAAAACTTTGAAAGTTAAATTTAAATTTTCTGACCGTATTTCAAATATGGAATTTTTAGTTTTGAAAAAATTTGCACTGTTTCTTGTGTTATAATGCATTGTAAATATCTTTCAAAATAGTTTTCAATAATTTAAAGTTAATATATCGTAAAAATTTAGAGCTATGAAATTTTTCAACACCCATTGTTTGATAGGAAAAATATACATAAACAGAGGGCATACTCAAAAATGCAAACTTCAGACTTACAAAAAGTACTCGCTATCAATCAACGTTAAACAAACGAAGTTTATAAATATTTACATACAATTTGATGTTATTTATTTATTTCATTTTCGGCTCAATTTCCATTGAAATTTAACACAATTTATTTTTCATCAGCATGAGTTATTCAATTTGGAAATTAGGAATAAACTTTTTGCGCCATGAGCTTCAAAGTCACTCCAACGAGCTCAAAATAGCAGATATAAAAATATTCATACAAAAAACCGTTGAGTTTGTGGAGATCCCCACCTAATGGCCAGAGATTCAAACAATGAAATCCCGCGTCCGCACATAAACCAGAATCTTTTATTACGTTCTTATTTTATTATTTAAATGTACAGTAAATTCAATTAGGCCGCAGTTAAAAACAACGGACGCGAAAAAAGGTGGAATACATGCACATAGCTGAAATTCAATTACAACCGCTAATGCCACTTGTATTGCCTGAAGCCCCGACCACAGACTGTTCAGCTCTAAATACCTGTAATCCGGCAAATTTAATTTGATAAAAGTTGAACTTCAATAAGCGCCAAAGTTGCCATGGTCGTCGCCCATTATAATTGTGGTCGTTGTGTGTGTGCTGACCACTTTTTGTTAAGCGGCCGCCGCAGTTCAGACCGCAAACAAATATGATCAGACATCCGACGAGTGACTGCGATAAGCAACAAGCAAAGGGGGAGAAAAACCCCTGCGACAAGTGGCAACACGGCGGATGAATATAGCTTATGCAGGCAAACACAGCCAGGAACGCACCTACACACTGACACAAGGGAATATTAAGCTAAAAAAACATTTATATGCGCTGCATACTTTTCTGCGGTGGCGGAAAAAATTCCTCGTCATTTGAACTGTTAACAAAAAACAAACGCCAAACTTTTAGTGCGAAAATATGTAGCGTCCGAAACAAATTAAATTAAGTGTCTACTTGGTGAAAATGCAGTTAAAAGCCTTGGTCAGGATAAGCATACTTTTTTCTATCACTTACACCATTATACCAGACTTTAAAAAATAAATTAAACATTCGGTGTCCAAAACTGAAAAAAGTTGAGGAATTGAAACCAAATAAACATACCATTTGTATTTTTTTATATTATATGCCAACAAGTATTAAAAATGTCGTTGCTATAAAATGCATTTTTATGTTGGTTTGCAAAACATACTGTCATTTTCAGTTTAGCAATTTGAACAAGCAATTTACAAACTGATTGAAAAACTGGCATTTAAGAAGTTTCAATATGATGAATTTTGTTTTAACTAATTGAAGAAATGCAACCCAATAGTCCAAGTGTCAGCATGTGTATTTTTGTTGCTTATTTTTAGAAAGTTCGCTTGAATTGGCTAAAGTAGGTTTTATTCAATCCCTTCGCTAAAAATGAAAACCTGACTTTATGCACAAATTCATTAAAATCAAATTGAAAAAATATTTAATCAAACGCCAGCGCCAGGAATAGAAAGAGGAATGTGTAAAACGAGAAATCGCATTCTCAAACAATTTTGTGCAACGGAAAAAATTCTAATTTATTGAGTTAACGCCCATTTTTACACCCTGTGCACATAAACGGGATCCAGGCGCTAACCCCTCCCGGAAAATCCCCCTTCAGGAACCCCCCATCCGTTGGTCACGCCCGGCCGCATGCCACAGCCATGACCATAACACAGTCTAATTCTGAACAAAAAAAATTTATATATAGGAAAAATTTAACGAAAAATTGCCCAACTCTCTGCGACTACCCCGCCGGTCAGCGAAATGAAATTTTCACGTTGCTGATGGGAACACGCATCCCGAACACACGGCGAACGAACCCCTTTTGCATTTACCACACAAACATTTTGGCCGTGATCCGGCAAAGCCCTACTGCCTAAAAAAAACGAATTAAAAACTTGCAAAAATTTTAATGGAATTTTTTTTTCATTCTTTCTACACTCCCACGCTCCCGGGTGTCATCCTGCCCCTCGTTGTTGGCGGTGGCATTGCGGAAATTGTTGTCCCCTTTGATTGTCAAGCGTCGGCTTACACACATAAATGTCACATCAGCACATAGCCTTCCAAGTGGGTGGAAGGGTTGGCCGTAGCTGCATGCTGATGGCTCTGCCCGGTGTTAGCCGTATAGATGAACGAAAAAATAAACGTTTATAAAACCGACAGGTTTGGTAAATCGCCGTCTCCAACTGACACTAAATTAAAGCTTTAAGCGGATCTTCGACACGAAAGTGCACATATTTTAAAATACATCTGAAATTAGGAAAGGCTGAGACGTATAATGAAAAAATTACAATGATCTACATTACATGTTGTTCTATGACGACGAAAAAATGTTGTCTTGCCATTTAAACTAACATTTATAAAATAATATTTGTACAATACATTTAATATCAATTGTTTTATTTATTTATAGACCCTGTAAGATCGAACCAATGATAACCCTAGAAACAGCATATTTCAAATTAAACAAATAACATCTCACACTTAAAATAACCATATCATATGTACAGAGTATTTACAAAAAATTAAGATCATCCAAATCTATGGAATTGAGACAGTTAAAGCTATAAAACCCTATTATTGATGCACTGCATCTACAGTTCATTCGGCGCGTAGAAACTGTTCCAAACTGATTCGATTTTCTTCAGTTCTGGAAGAGCTTTCACTTCGAACGGCTCCGTAATATTAAGGCACTTGAAATCCGTTTCGTTTTCGAGGGGAGCGAATTTAAGAGCCCTTATACTTTCGCAATTGGGATCACTGTTGGCGGCGAAACTCGTCCAAACGTCGACCATTCCTGTGATAACCTTATATTCCGGGGAGTCTGGCGCGGATTGGTGTGACAACATGCTGTGGAATATATAGCCTAGATCGTCGCCATGGCAGACACCTCGCATCTGATGGCCACAGAGGACAATCCTAATGGGATTGCACAATTTGGAATCGTGATCGAAGCGATATAGATAGGTGGGAGCACTGGACTGGCGGACTCGAGTCAGAGCCGCCCTATAAATAGGGTGCCAGAATTCGCGGTATGAGCACAGTTCCAGGAACTTCATCATGTTGGCCTGGTTGCAGGGTTCATCGCCGAAATACGCCTTCTTCAACTGCAGCCCGTAGTTTTCGCGCAGTTTGGGATCCAAGTTGGGGCTAAGATCGCTCGGCAGCATATTCTTGCAGTTCCCCACCTCATCTAGGGTGGCTGAACGCCTGGAAACCTCTGGAAAAAGATAGTTAATTATGCTGACTTGTGTCATATAGGGATTCACGCACCTGGATAGAAAAGCAGCCCCTCGAAGCTCGTGCCTCCGAACATCATGGGTATCCTGTGGCTCCAGCTGTTTTTCATCAGTTCATGGGGTTGTTTATCAATCACCGTGTGATCGGTGGTGTAGGGTTCGATAACGGGTCCAAAGGCAAACATAATGCGATGATGCTTCTCGTCATTGCTGAGGACCGGGCCGGAGGCCTTCACAATTTCCCCGCCATTCACCGACTTCAGAAACTCAAAGATGGCCTTCTCCTTGTTGTCACCCGTGTAACCCAGTTTCTGGGCCAGTCGGTAGGCCCAATCTTTCCTCGGCGGCCTCGTCCAGGGACACAGAACACTGCCCGACATGACGATCGCTTTGTGGATAAGTCCCTCGGTTTGTGGGCTTAGGGTAAGGAAGTGAGTGGAAGCTCCTCCGGCACTTTCGCCAAAGAGTGTGACATTGCTGGGATCACCGCCGAAGGCTTCGATATTTTGCTGCACCCATCGAAGGGCCAATAACTGATCCTTGAGACCGGCGTTTCCGGGCACATCTAGCTGAGGATCATCCAAGCTCAGGAAGCCCAAGGCTCCCAGTCGATAGGCCACAGTGACTATGACCACATCCTTCGACATAAAGAAGTCGGGACTGTACATATCGCGGGAGGCCTCTCCAACTTGGAACCCTCCTCCATAGATCCAAACCATCACGGGACGAAGTTTGTTCGGTTGCAACTTAAAGGAAAAAGTTAGTACTCAAAACTGATAAGCAACAATGGAATAATTCAAAACTTACATCTTTAACGTACACATTCAAGTAGAGACAGTCCTCTGAGCCCGCGTACTTTCGAAAAAAGGGGTGTGTTTGCAGGGGCTTCTCTGCCGCAGAAGTGCAGTCCAATTCCCGGTCCCATGGTTCCACTGGCTCGGGGGCCTTGAAACGGAGATCTCCCAACGGGGGCTTCGCGAAGGGTATCTTCTCGAAACTGAAGTAGCTCCCTCCCCAGATGGTGTTCCGCTTCACTCCGCGCACTGGTCCAAGCTTCGTCTTTATCACAGAATATATAGTGGTGGCCAACTTGCGCTGTTCATACTTGAAACTGAGCACCCTGTAAAGAAAATTATGGATTAATATTAAAGTTTAAAGATTTCATTGAGATATAATATTATAATTTAATAAAATGAAATGATAAATATAAAACCCTTGCAGAGGGTATTAAAATTTCAGTACGAAGTTTGCACCGCATTGAAGGAGACGTTTTTGACTCTATAAAGTATATATGTTCTTGATCAGCATCACTGGACGAGTCGATCTAGCCATGTCTGTCTGTCCGTCCTTCTGTTCGTCCGTCCGTCGGTCTTTCCGTCCGTCGGTCTGTCCGTTTGTCTGTCCTTCCGTCCGTTTCTACGTAGTTTTAAAGCTATCAGGCTGAAACTTTTTAAATACTTCCTAATTTCGAATTTAATTTTATCAAAATTACACGACTTTATACTATAGCTATACTATCGGAAAATGAATGGTTTTTATTGTACTTTCTTCTACTCTGGGAAAAGCCTTTTATTATATTTCAGAATTCCTAATTAAATTTTAAAACAATCGGTTTGGCTGCACCATACCTCATTCTAATAGGTAAAAAAAGTTGCTGATTAATAATGAAATAATTACTGGTTTTATGGGATCGTAAAAACCATATGAAGTGGCTTGCAAACTTCTTGGAAGTGTCATAATACCCACTGGCCTGTTTAAAATGAGCCACTCTTCAAAATATTTATATAATAATGTCTGCGAATCTAATCCGGTCAGCGGCAGTCACGCATTGGGGACATGACCACAGTAAACACTCAACGGCGAGCACCAATAGCAAACTGCCGGCGAACCACTTTCAATGTCGTTGGAGGTCTTTGCTGCTTTGAAAGTCTGGCGAACTGTCAACGGCTTTTGACCAACCTCAACGCTTCACGTTTTGCATGCACGACCAGTCCGCTATTTTCTATAACTCTCCTTTGTTTTGTGCCTGAGATTGTTTGTTTCTCATTTTTATGGCTAATTTGTGGGTGGGCGTGAGGCGGTTTATTGCAGTTAATGGCCTATTTTTATCTGTTCACACTGCGCACCTTCGATTGAGGCCCAAGTCGTATATTTAACTGGCATTCTGCAAATGCACTGACATAGTTTGAATCAACATCATTGCACACGAATGCATACAAATCGGTAATTACCGCTGGAATCGAGAGAAAGGCGAGATCAGATTGTTCAGCAGATTGGATGGTACGTGACTGCTGTGGGTCTGTGAAAGCCACCATCCAATATTACGCCTTTCAACATTTCGATTATTAAAACATTTCTTGCCAGTGTATTTTGCCTCAGATGGCCTAACACCTGAAATACCCAGTAGCAGACTTAGCCGAGCGTAACAAATGAAGGTAATAAATTAAGACTAATTCGCTCACTTAACCTAAAGTTTAACACTCTTTTATGTGGAAAACTCATTCAAATTGCTGAACTTTTCATTCATCAAAAATAAACCTAATCTTATCAGCATTCGACAACCAATCAATACAGTAAGAAAAGGCGAACAAACATATGCACAAAAGTGCGACAAAGTTGTAGTACACTTTAAGTATTTAAAAGTCATGGGCCTAGGCAACAAAATATAAACGAATGGTATGACTAACAAAATAAACGAGACAGCTTTTAAATCAGTCAATGGAAAAACTGTAAATGTTTATGTACACTCATAAAAAAAATCGCCATTGATTCAAGAAATTCGCCATTGATTCAAGAAAATCGCCTATGATTTTCAGCCAACGGCGATTCGCCATTAATAATGGGAAATAATTTTCTTGAATTTACGGTTTCGCCTTTCTAAAAATCATTACCAATTTTTCTGAATTTTACGGCAAAAAACCCTAAAATTAAGAAAAATTTGCTTAAAAATAGAAAAATAAAAGTATATTTGTTTATAACTTTTTTTTTAATTTTGTCCGACTGATTTTTTATCACTTTTGCATTTAGGTTTGTTAACTAAGATGAAACCTTTCATGTTTTAATGACAATCATATCGTGACAATAGGGTACATTTTTATTTATTTATTTATTTAATTTAAATTCAAATTTATTATAAATGTTTATTAATTACAATGCATTTTAAGTACAGAAAAAACTTTTTGTAAACATATAAAAGACTTAAGGAAAAATTCTTACCTCGACCTGAACTCGGACTCGCGACCGCTCACACCATAGACAGACATCTTAACCACTCGGCCACGCGTGCTTCTTGCAATGCAATGGCTTAAGATGCCTAAAGTGTTAACGGTCGTATTATTGGTATACCAATTACAATTACTTTAATTAAATCTTGTTAACAACAGTTTTAACAATTTAAGGAATGGAAAACCAAAACAAAAGATTTTTTATACGAAAAAAAAAAACAATAACTATTAAAAAAAAAAATCAGACTCGTCCCTGCGTGAAGTCGAACCGCGGTTTCCGCGGCGACTTTTGTACACTTGTTTAGTGTCCGAACGCCTCTAACAGATAGGCCACCATACTAGAACACTAAAAAATTACACAACGTTCCTAAAAAATAGGTATTTATTCTCTAGAATCAAAGGCGATTTCGCCATTAACTCAAGAAAAAAGTCCGGAAAATATTGCCATTAATCCAAGAAAATATCGCCATTAATCCAAGAAAAAAATCAACTATTCTTCTTCTTATTCATTTTATAAAAAATTTTATGGCAAATTTCCATAAACTTAAGAAAATTTTTCTATAATCTAGAAAAATTTTCTTAATTCAATGGCAATTTGAAATCACGGGCGATTTTCTAAAATTAAGGGCGATTTTTTTTCTGAGTGTATTTATTCAGAAATTTATCTACCGGGCTCAGAAATGCCCAGCTATACGAAATCGGGGTTAAAGCTGTCGTGTCATGCTCATAGAGCAGAAATCATGGTATCACCTGAAAGTGAAATGAACCCTGTACCCGGGGAACTTATCAGTATAATTCCGCATGCGATTATATTGGCAAACAAACAATTAACTTGTCTCAGTGCTATAATATAGCGAACGTGTATCCATTAATATATGGGTTTAACTAGCAGGGAATATTAAAGCTGTTAACGAGTGCAAAAATAAACGATTACGAAGGTATAAGTAGCTTTATCTGTCATTTAAATTAAAACCAGAGTTATGAGTCGTAATAAAATTTAACTTAAGAACAATACGGCGAAGACTTCAAAGATGTATTTATATCTTTATATTCGTTTATCCTATTTTAATTTAGTGTTTATGTACAAGTGTAGGAGTCAGCCTAAAAAACTCCTAACTGACCTAACCCACTTCTTTGATTTCCTCAATTGAAAAGCCACATAGACAAATAGTGATAAATAAATATAGATACACGCAATTAACACGATTGTGTGTGGCTGTGCAATAATTTATGTTAAAAATACTAACTACCCGCAAAACTGCTAATAAACCTGTGAAAACGTGCAAAAAATAGTAAACACAAATCAAAATAACAAAAAAGACTAACGAATGCCGCAACAGTGGAAGCATCGCTGAATCATGGGCGAAAAACAAAAGGGGAAAACAAAAGCGAAGAAAACAAAACGGACAGAAATGAGCCAGAGAAGAAGCAGCATCATTAAGTTTATGCAAAACAACAGAAAACAAGCAACATTCAAACAAAAAAACCAACCCGCAGCAAAGTTTGCGCAACAATTTCACCAACGCAAGACACATAAATTGATGTGTGTACAGAGTACACAGTGAAAAAATCATTAATTAAAAGAAATGAAATCACTAGCCAATTCAAATATGTAAAAAGTCTTAAAATAAGTTTTAATATTGTTATTCATTTTACTACGGTAAAAGTATCTCTCGGTATCAAGACTTAATGTTTCAATTTGACATTCAGAAAATGTAACATAATTAAAAACTTTAATTTATTTTGGAAATAAATATTTACTTTAAATATATATAATTTTATTTTTTCGGACCATATTGATAAAATCGTATAGAAAATGTATGCTCTAAATTTTAAAATTAAAAAGTTATTAAAAATATTGTTTCAAATAAAATGTGATTTTTTTACATTTATTTTTATAATTTTCTTATTATTAACATGATATTATTACGGATTAATACGATGCCTTCTTTAAATATGGACTTATTTATGATAAACATTTTAAATTGAAATAAGCTGTTCTAAATAAAAATTTTAAAAATATCAAAAGCTTGCAGGGAAAACAAATTTCGAAAGGGAAAACGGCAACCAATTTCCCCAGTGCATATGTGTGCATTTGTATGCATGCTAGGCAGAAGTTATTGCAAAACCAAGACGCGAGACCTCAAAACACAGAAAACCGTTTAACGCTCCACGAGAAACTGAGACTGGGAAAACTCACTTAAAGGTCAGCTTCAGTATATCCATAAAGCGGGTTGCCATTTCGTATGACTTTTGGCGCACAACTTTTCATGAACACCCAAAACACACTGGTTACTTATGTTTAGCTATATACGCTTCGATAACGAGCGCCGATTCGGGGAAAGTGTCACAATAAACTCGAAGCTATCGAAGTTAATACGACCGGCTAGAAAAAAACGATCGGTGATCGGTGAACGGAACAAATAAAGCGCTCTTCAAGAGCGTGCTGCACCAACTGACCGATGCCTCGCGATTGGGGTCTTACCATGACGATGATAATCCCACTCACCGAACTCTCTCCCTCTCAATGTTTTCCAACTGCGGAAGCGTTTCTCACCTGAATCAGCTGTTTCGTGCATAGCTCTCTGCTCTTAAAAAATACCGGTTATATGGTTCCCCTTCCGATTTTTCTTTACTGTTATGATTCCGCTTTGTATACAAGTTACTTTACCGTATTACACTTTTATTGTCTCGCATAAAACTATGTAATAGAGAGAAGAAAGCGTTTCCGACCGCAAAGATACATAATTATAAGATTATTGATCAGAACTTTTATTTACCAATCGCAATCACCATCGTGCAATATGCAAGTGTAAAATAAGTTATTAAAATAGTTCTTGCATCTCATATCAAAACATTAGAATTTTTAGAAAGATTTTTCAAAATTATTAAATTTAGTACAGGGTATCTTATGCTTGAGCACATTTATTAAATAGATATCTCTCGTTGCTGGCAATACTGAAGCTGAGTTGAAGCTTTTATTTGAAAAGCTCTTCGTGCTAATACGAAATGCTGAATGTTGTGACACTATCCCACAAGTAATGATGATCAAGCTCTTAAATTCAATATTAAAGCCAAAAAACCAACGCCCCAAGCACACTTGGCTAAACCTTGAAAACGAACTTGGCTAATTTACCATTCCTAACTATTATTTAAGCTTTCTGAGCCCTCCTAATGAGATTGATGTAGAACTTCATTGCGAAAAACAATGATATTTCCCTTCTTACAAACTGATCTTAAACACAAGAAGTCGCATTAATCATAGGGGCAATGAAACGAACATTTCTCTAAAAAGTTAATCAAACTTATTATGGAGATTTTCATTTCGTAGGCTTTTCAATTGAAGTGAATAGTACGCTTAACCATACAAAATTATTCTCCTTTATTTTATTTATTTATTTGTTGCCATATAAATCCTTCCTTATTGCAATATTTTTTCATTTAAAAGTACATCAAATGAACATATGATATATGAAGAATTCAACCAACTGATAAAGGAATACTTTGCAAATACCTAAGAAATATTCTTCTAGAGATAAGAAAATGTGTGACAGTAGAATCATACTGATTATAAATACACCGTTAAGCCTTATAAAAAGGTAACCAAGCATTTTCCCAAAATAAGTTAAAAGCGAATAAAGTTCGAACTATTCACCGTTTTGCGCTGTGCAATCACAAACGAAGCTTAACTGTAATAGTGAGTGTGACAGTGAACTTGACTTTTTGGAACTAAACAAAGCCAGTGACATTTGTCAATAAAAAACTGTCCACGGTGCTGAAAGATAATTTATTTATTTACAAATGATTGGGCTTTATTGGGCTGTGTGTGTATGGGTTAAAAGTCGAAGTCATCTGATGCGGTGTAGTGCTCTTCACTTTCAGTTACAACTGTGTCGGCTTCGGCGGATGGTACATCATCACACAATGTATAGTGTATATTTGCAGCAATTAAATAAAAGCTGAAAGCAATTTTATCCATTTTATATAAGTGTTTAGTGTATGAAAAGACCTACCTGAGCAACAAGATAATTTTTAGTATGGCATCCATTTCGACCAGACGAGCAGAGAGTCCCAAATATAACTGATATTCAGATGCATGATCAGAAATAGGAAAACCATGTCAGCCAAGCGGGTTGGATTACACTAACTATTAGCACTTAGCAGCTGATTCACAGCTGTAGGCACAATCGCCGGCACTAAGTCGACCAGATCAAACAAATTTTGATTACTCTGCTTTGACATTCACTTTGAACAATATTATACAATTATTAGAGCTAATCACCGCAACAACCAAATGCGAGGAATAAAGGTTCCAATTAGCGAGATATTAGTCACGCTGTATTTGATCTCGCGATTTGTATTAGGTATTAAATTTTCGCATCAACGCATATGCGATAATTTATAGTAATTTTGTTGGTCTGATAACTCACATGAGGACCAGACTGAAATTTGTGACGCAGACCTAGACCTATGTTTCCGATGGGAAGTTTTATGGACGTGATAATGAAAATGCAGCCCCATGTTGAGTTTGCAGATTTCACTAGGGTTCAGCTGTCATACTTACTGTTGTATATAATCCCAGTTGGTAAAGACTCGCGGAACAGTTTTATTCGGGATGAGGCTAAAGTTTCTCAGACTTGTCAGAAATATCCAGTACCTTCTCATTTCGGTTGTGTGAATACAATGGCAAAGCACTTTCGTTATATTTTATTTCTTTGTTTCAAAATACAAAGGAATTTATTTTTTATTTTTTCATAAAATATGGATTTTTACATTTTCAAATTTCATAGTTAATTTGCATCACATGACTTTGAAGCTTTTCGACAATAAATTTGTGTTTCCAACAGACTCGGATACATAGAGAATTCGTAGGCAAACTAATTTAAACCAGCCGACTTAAATCGTTATCTTCTTGTAGACACTCATAAACGACTCCATATAAATAGTTTTTGTTTGGTTTCTTTTTCATATTCTAAAAATGATGTAAAACTTGGACAGGTTTTCTGCTTGTTCAAATATAACATTTTACCAAAAACAACCTATGCATACAAAAGGCTAAATATCTAAAAAGACTTAGGCTAAGAATATAAATAAATTGGTTACGGTTAACTAGTTGTCTCAGTTAAATATATAGTTGTTGAAACACAAATGGAAATTTCCTTGTTGTAAATGTGTGCGTACGTTAGGTAATGGAAGAAAAAAGAATGGAACTCTTAACTCAAGTTTGTGCTGAGGACTTATAACGATCTCGAATAAAGTGAATTGTATAAAATACGGTTGATATTAGTTGGCTTTTCAAAGATATCAGCGAGACTTAAAGGAACGTTAAATATAAGTTCTTAGCTCAGATTCCTTGGCTGTCTTGTTTAGTTTGGTTTAGTTGGTTTGGTAGTTTCTCATAGAAGGTACTTTAGTTGCGACTTGTTTCACACTCATAGGCTATGAGTCATTACTACATACAAACAGCCTTCTTAGACTACAGATTCGATCCGATAAGATATAGATAGAAACGGATGAACTTTAACACACATAGAATTCATCTCGACGACAAACTTAACAACAGTAAACTCTCTTGATCTCAGGTCTAAAGCTACGCTTTGCATTGTTTCAAACAGAGGCTTCAACGTAAAGCTTTCATAATCATAACTGGTAAGGGTGGGTTCACTTTATGGGGATGCCAAAAGCATTGAAACATTGTCACATAAGACAGTGGTTTTTATCGGGGATAAAATCCCTTAATCATAGAAAAACTAAGATTTGCTTGTAGAAAATATCTTAGAAGCAAAATATAAGACTCTTCTTTTCTTTGGGAATTACATACCAAGTAAAATTGTCCCCATAATAAATTCAACTCCCATACTACTTGGTCTCCAAATATGACCCACCCTTGTACAAGTAAAGCTACAGATCTAGTCTAGATGGATTTCTGTACATCCCTACAGCAGTTCGTCGCGTCGGAAGAAACTCTCCCAGACCATCAACTTCTTAAGATCGGGCACGTCGATCACCTTCAGCTCGTCGGAAATGTTAAGGCACTTCAACTGGTGTTTCTCGACGGCCGCCAGATCGACGGGCTGCCAGAGGTCCTGCTGCTCCGGATCGAAGTTGGGGTTTCCGCAGGCGGCGAAGTGCGTCCACAGTCCCACCAGCCGCTCGATGCACTTGTACTCGCGCGTGTGGTTCTTCAGCTTCCTCGCCAGCGAGTTGTAAAACAAGTAGGACAGGTCGTCGCCGTGGCAGGTGCCGCGCACCTTCTTGCCGCAGCTCAGGATGCGCAGGTGGTTGAAGTGCTTCGAGTCGAAGTCGAAGCGGTACAGGTACGTCGGCGCACTGCGGGCGTACTGCAGGCGGGACAATACTGTGCGGTAGATGGGGAACCAGAAGTACTCGTGGGAGACCATCTGAAAATTATGAAAAAAATGCAAGTTTTAGAAAAATATTTTATATTTACTAGACGCTTAACCTTACAGCAACATTAAAAAGTTTAATGTATGTATGTATTTGATTTCTAGTGATACGCATATAATTTATCATGTTGCATAAATAAACTCTTCTTTGCTACAATTTACGAAATTTATTTGTAAGCTAAATCTGTTCATGACTAATGAACAAATAACCGTAAGAACAAAATAAAAGAATAAATATTTCAGAAATGTTCACTCAAAGTACCCACACATATCATGCTTATCTTTAAAGTTGTAGTATGAATAACTTTATATACTCAGTGCACTACAAATTCCAGCTTTCTTTTGCAAAAGTCAGAGCATTAGTGTATGATTACGATGCCAAAGTATTTAGTTGAGACATCAGCAGTTAAAAATCTACATTAAATCGGTGCTTATCAGTAAAGAAATATTTTAATTGTATAAGTGCACTTATTTACATACAAAAAAATAATTATGACGCAAAATGGTACTGCCCATTAGTCAGCGACAAGATCACAAATCCTTGAACAGTTAAAAAAAAGTAATACTTGATGCTTGTCTTACTTTACTGATCAAATACATTTCCTAAATATTACCAAGGTGAACTCACCTGAAGGTATTCGTGCAGGGTGTCCAGACTCGGCGTCTTATCGCCGTAGTAGCACTGCTTCAGCTGATCGCCGTACTCCCGGCAGAGGGCGCTCTCCCTGTCCATGTTCAATTCGATGGGCACCACGAATCGACAGTCATCCAACTCGTTGAGACACTTGGGATTACACTTGGTCTCGGAGTACAACAGTAGGCCCTCGTTGGAAACGCCTCCGAGGATCAGTGGGATGTTGTTGCTCCAGGCGGTTCGCATCATTTCGATGGGTTTCGTGGGCACCACACAGTGGCTGGTCACATAGGGTTCGATCACGGGTCCAAATGAGAAGCCAATGCGCTCCTTCTTCTCCTCATCGATGCACAGTTCCCCGTTGGCTTTGATGATATCGGATCCCTTGGCATTGTTCAGGAACTCCCACACATCGCGCGTGTTATTTTCACCCGTATAGCCCGCCTGAACGGCCAATCGATATGGCCAATTTCTCTGGGGAGTCACGGCCCAGGGAGAAAGCGTGTTTCCCGACATACAGATGGCCTTGTGGAAGAGTCCGCGCGTCTGCTCCGTGATCATCATGTAGTGGACCGAGGCACTTCCCGCACTGTCTCCGAAAATGGTTATATTCGCGGAATCTCCTCCGAAACGGGAGCAATTGGCCTTGACCCATCGGAGGGCCAGCACTTGATCCTTGAGACCCGCATTGCCGGGAACATCGAGCTCGGGATCGTCCAGGCAGAGGAATCCTAAGATGATTTAAGTATACGTAAGTAAATTTTCGGTTTTTAAGTTTAAACCCAGTCTTACCTAGAGGTCCCAATCTGTAGTTGATAGAAATGACTACCACATCCTCACGCAGCAGATAATCTGGACTGTAACATTCGCGCGAGGCCTCGCCAAACTGAAAGCCTCCGCCATAGATCCAGACCATCACAGGCATTGGTTTGGTGGGATATAACTGCGGAATAATTACAGCAAATCATTATTAGGTATATCTAAATAAAAAGTTTAAACCATCAACTTTATATTTAAAAATCTATTGAAATAAAATATAGATTCCAATTTTAAGCTGGCCTTTACTCACATTCTTTGTGTAGACATTGAGGTAAAGACAGTCTTCGGAGCCATCGGTCATCTCGAACACGAAGTGCTTCTGGAGGGGCTTCGGTCCCTGGGAGGTGCAGCTCTTGACCTCCGTCCAGACCTCTGGGGGCTGTGGGGCCTTGTAGCGCAGCTCTCCCACCGGCGGCTTAGCGAACGGAATCCGCTCGAAACTGAAGTACGACTGGCCGTAGATGGACTTCCTCTTCACACCCTTGATGGGTCCGTAGGTGGTGCTGACGACAGTCTTTTCGCTGGTCCTGTAGCGACGTTGTTGGACCTTAAAGTCAACCATTCTGCAAGGAAAGAGAGAGAGAGAGAGACACCGGAATGAGCTTAAGGGATTTCACAAGATATGTTCCAATTTTCACCAATCGATCTGTGCCTAATCAGCGAAAAAGGGAATTTGCGGCCATTAATCAGGGACAATAAACGACGTCAGCTCCGCTGATATTGATGGGAGCGTCTTTTCCGTTTAGTGTTCTGCTGATAAGGTTAATTTTTTATCAGCTCGCGGCTGACGGGCCAGGTGTGCGCCATTTATCAGGCCCGCGACTTTCCACGATTCATATTAAATCTGTTTGCGATATTTTGCTATTCTCTCTGCCTTTGATTTTTTGTTTTCGGCTTATTTATTTTGAGTAGCGTTCAAACAAATTCTGACGCGCCCTGGTATCAAGAGATAAACAAACGCTAGCCAAACAAATTTTCGGGTAATTTTTCGAGTTGTGTAAGTCATTCAACTTGAGTGGCGGAATTCAAGGGTAAAGGCCATTGAAATTCAAAAGGGTACTAAGCTTATAGCCAGCCATCACAACTGGGTTATGTGCTTATAGATTCTGTACATTTTGTACTTAAAAGTGAAGCAGTTTTATTTCTGGGAACTATTAACCTAAAAAGCCTGAGGGGCCGTGATTTAACAAATAGGAATTATTTCGTGTTGCGTACAGGAATTCAAGGCAAAGGCCATTGAAATCCGAAAGTGTATTAAACCTTTGGCAAGGCATTCCACACTTTGGCAATTGTTTACAGATTTTGTATTTCAAAAATAGGATGAGGTGCTCTGTTTTTGAGGAAACTAATAACCTGAGTAGTCGAGGTGCAATTTTTAATTGTCTAAATATAGACATCAAGGTTGCCTGATAAGGTGTTCAAGACATTCATAGATTTAGTGCCCGAATAATAATTTCATCAGTGCGCAATTATAAAAATGTCTTCCCGCAGAGACCACCAATTATAGATCACCGTGAGGCGGCTTTTGTTTATCGGTTGCCATAAGGTTCAAGTCATGTACGCAAAATAAAACCGTTTCTGTCTTTATTTCCAATTTTCGATTGAATGATGCAAGGCAGAATAGTTTGTGAGCTCACCCGGCGCAAGGAACGTGTTTCAACTTTTAATTAATGCCTACGTAGGTCCGTATTTGTCATAAACAGAAAAAGCGTAGCTATATCTAAGAGATCTGTCCCACTCTTTGTTTTGTTTGCGCTGCCGTTGTTTGCAAATGTCATCAGCAGCTGAAGAAACCCCAAGGGCGGCGAAAATATATCAAAATTTATGTTTATTAATAGCCGGAACGAGCTGGTGCCCATTTTTCGGACGAGATGGAAGCCAAAGCACCAACGCATGATGTGAATAATACATCCGGAGCAATTTGGCTGTGACTATCTCAAAAGGCGTCCTTGAACTTAGCCATGGAAATTGTTATGGCGAAGGAGCGCTTAAGCTAATGGTCGGCACCTATAAAAAAGGAGGAAAGTCAATATAAATAATGTTTATGACGGGTCTGCCCTGGCTATAAAAACGGTGTCCTAATGCCGGTCTTGCGTGTAGAAAGGTCATTTCTCAATTGGAGGACCTCAAACGCACCCAAACGGGGCGGACTGACCACAGAGCCATTTGTAAAAAGCTGAAAGCTCATGGAGCCTACATATTTTACTTTGTTTGCAACAAAAAACAAACAAATAGCCAAGAATGCAGATACTAAAATTGGATGTTAATCCATTTAGTGATGCTTAAAATTTGATGTTCTGTTTCTGTTCCGTTGCTTCCGCTAAGAATGTATCTGCTAAACGATCTTGTGTGTCACATCTGATTTATGTGTTATTTTTGGCCACTGCAGCGATAAATTTAAAGCAAAATAAACAAGAAAATTTTGCTTACACTAAGATGGGAAATATTCAGCTGCTTATTAGCAACAAGTGACGACAGCAGACCCAAAAAAGCCACAAAGAAATTCCTCCAAATGAAAGACAAATAAACTTCACACAGTTCAACAAAATAAATTAAAAAATTGTATTAAATTGGTTCTTACAAATATTAAAGGTGCATACTTTTCAAAAAGTTTTTAAAATAAAAAAAAAATTTATTATTTTTTAAAATAAAAACAGACATAAATTTACCGAGGAAAACAAATACTAGACAAAATGTTTAAAATATATGCGAATAAAACAGGTGGAGCAACGAGTACTGGCAAACCTAGAATTTAGATCGTCTTATCAATAGAGTTCTAGGAATATTTTGAATACAGCTCCGAGTTTGTGTTGTGTTTTTATGCACCCAGGGGAGAGATAAGCCCGACTTATGTCACATATGATTCAATTATTTTTCCCATGCACACTCCGCAATCTTCCCGGCTGTGCGTTATCAGCTAGACGTAGGACAAATCCGGCACGCGATAGATGGAAATGTGAGACCACATAATCTAAGGCTACATCAAATATTGTCTCACCAACGGACTGACAGACAGTCATGGTCACGTTAATTTCTTGAAAAAGATGACAACACACGAAAATGATGATTAGTGTTCACATTAAAGTGGATACATTAAACAGCAAGAAATTAATTTCCGCCTGACAGTGGCCATAAAAAGTTGGCTTCTATTTCTAGACACTTTACATTGGACTTTCGATGACCTTGGCAAGGCTGCAAAAGCCCGATTTGCGGGCTGCAGAATGAAAGCTTCGGCGCCATGAATGAATCGGTTGGGAAGAAGGCCAAAAGCCTGCAGTAGGACAGAGCTTTTGGGGAAAGGGATGGTCTAGCTACAGGTCAAGGAGTCATCTGAAGGATGTGTGGGCTGGCAATTAAATGTAAACAAAATTTAAAAATGTCCAAGGATTCATGTTCATTTACTTAAAACTAAGGGGAATTAATTAGGTAAATTGATAACAAAAAATGAAAATATATAGCATATTTGGGGCAATCTGACAACTCAGCACTAATTTAATAAGTTTTTATTATAATATAATCAACATGTGTTGACTTTATTAACCCTAATAGAGTAAACATATTAAATGCACAGCTCAAAACGGTTTGCGTGTCTTAATTTAATGAAAAATGAGCTAAAATTTGAACTCATTCATCGAAAAATCCTTATAATACATATCACCGTATACATTTATCAGAATGCTTGCTCTTGTCGCGGCAATTCTTTCATTCTTTATTCATTTAAAAAAAACTGAGTTCGCCGTACAAAAGCTTTCAGTAAAATAAAAAATAATAGAGCAAAAGAAAATGCGGCAAAATTAAATGAAATTGACAACTCGACAAGTGTGTTGGTGTGTGTGGGCGGTAGATAGAAGGCGAGCACGAACGGCCAGCTACAGAATTTCACATACTACACAGGCGAATTTTTATGCCGCGGTTATACACGACGTATGCGCAATGTCAGAAGTAAAGCATACAGAACAAAAGAATGCTGAAAATTGCAGAAATCTTAAAACAATAAATGTCTCAAGACGGAAAGAGCAGTTGACCAAAGAGTACTCTTTGGGTTTTTCGTAATCACTACAGTCGTTAAAGGGAAGCAAAGTTTGGGAATTTCTATTTTAGTTCAAAATGTAATAATTCAGGGAATTTATTCTTTCCTATTTTTTTATTTCTTGAAAACCATTGAATGACCAAATTTTTTGTAGTGATGGCAAAAGTTTCTCAAAATACTAATCCAAAGAAAATTATATTACTATCTATATAATAGATATTTATAACTCATTTTGGTATATTTTGGTACCTTATTAAGTGTGTTATTATTTGTTTCCAAAATCTCTGACCAAGGAGCCAAGTATTTTCATTACTTTCGCTTTTGGTCTCCCGCCAAAATAATTGCGATGCGGATAAAGATGTTCAGGGCATCCATGTAAATGGCCAGGGCGTGATTAATGGGATCGTACAGCGAGCTACTGTACTGAGGATGCATTTCGGCCGACTTTACGATCCTTTGGGTGTCGTACAGTAGGAACCCGCTGAAAAGGATCAGTCCGCCGTACAGGGACATGCTGGCTAGCCCCGCGCCAACCGCAGTTGTGGGCGGCAGCCACATGGAGGCCAGCGAGGAGGCGAATACCACGCCCAGTCCGATGGCCAGGGGTCCGCCCATGTTCAGGAACTTCTCACTCGGTGCGCAAGCGGCCACCGTGGACAGGGCACCCACAATGCCGCCGGTGTAGAGAAGGGCCTTGGTCAGGATGGGTCCGCCCAGCAGGCACATGGGCGCCAGGACGGCCCCCAAAACGGCACAGTGGGCCAGCCAGGCCACCTGCTTGGCACCGAAGCCCGGCTGATAGTCCATGCCCTGGGCAACGGCCCCGCTGAGCATCACCAGTCCCAGGGTAACCAACGAGGCAATCCATCCGGAACGCATCATCAGCGACATCATGGCGTCCGACTGGAAAATGGCAACGGACGACGCTGCTGTTACGCCGCAGGAGGCTCCAAAATAGGCGTAGGTGGCATGGATGCGATCCCTCACATACTGGGGCCAGACCACCGAGTGATCGTAGATACTGGGCTGCTTCGAAAGACCCAGTCCGTAGTAACACAGACCGACGAGGCCCATCAGGGCCGCTCCCGCCGCAGCTCCCTTTCCCATGGAGTAGGCATTCTCGCTGGGAGGCCCCATCATGCGGTCCTTGAGAGAGGGTCCTCTGGTTCGACTCTCCAAGTGGGATCGGTCGCGGTCCCTCGACTCCCTGGAGTACTTCCTCATCCCAAGCTCCTGCATATCCCGCTTGGGCATCACTGATTTACCTTGAGCTAGAGTAGGCATCCTCCTAGGATTACCCGTGATCTGGGACTGAGCGGAGCTCCAAAGACGAGGACCTCCTGTCTGGCCCAAAAGGCGCAGCGATCGCCCTGGCAACACATGGGTTAAACGGGCCAAAAGCATTTCGAAAATCGATTTGGTTTATCTATGGTTTTTGTTTTTTTAATTGTTAACAGAAAGTCCGGTATAACATCAGTGAGATATGGACGATGAAGCCCTATGGGTTGTGTGTTTCAGATTGAACGGTTCTAATTGAACAATTTAGCAAAACAAATTTTGAGACAAGACTGGCCAAAGATTTATTTTGGAAAGGCAACTGGGTTGGAAGCTATAAGTTTTTACAACATTATTCACTATAAAGTTGTGTTTATTGGTTTTCGTATTTATTATTTTATTACCAGTTGTCAACTGACAATAAATATTATGACGAGGAAATAAGCAAAGCTCTTTACCGCTTATAACGAGATCAATCTCGCCAAAGCAAGATGGGAACATGAGAATTTCCAAAAGATATTTGTATACCTCAAAAATACATTTTTGCACGTGCCCAGACGCGCTAAGAATTCCCAGATTGTCTGTAATTGAAGGTTAATTGGCTGGCTAGCGATGAATTTGCTGTGCCAATTGATCAAACCAATGACTAAAATTGATTTCGAGCAATAAATAACCAATTGAAATTGACCAAATTTAAATTTCAAATACTTAAAGGCAAGCAGTTTATTGAATGCAAGTCGAAAATACATTGTTTGTAAATTGACAATTTATATGCGCCAAATTGATTGAATGTGCGCTGTGTGAATTTATTTCCACAAAAAACAGCGATTTAAATATGCAAATGAATGCGAAATTAAAACGAACAAAAAATGGTTTGTGATATGACGTCATTATACTTCAAAAATATACAAGAAATATCAATGGAAACAGTCAAATAAATGCAATTTACGTTTGGAAGAACGAAAAACAAGCAACAGTATCGCCCACCAAAATAAAGTGTGCAAACTTTTTGAATAATGGTCGAGCAATATCGGAGAGAAATTAAAAACCATATCAGGCCTGACATCCCATTCGTTACAATTCATCTTTGTGGCGATTGAAATTCAATGAAATCATCATGTGAAGGGGCCCGAAATGAAACCAGTTAGCCACCGAACCGAGCTGATCTCATTCAACACCATTCCTATTCTTTGCAAAACGTCAAACCGTTTTTTTTGCACACCAGCCCAAAATGTGAGTCAGCCCCTGATGGGTTTACTATGGTTTACACAATACTATAATTTACATACATCCCGCAGACATCTGGGAGCGGGCTTGCGGAGGAATTCTAGTTTGCTACCTAATTATTTGCGCAGTTTAAGTGTCGGCAAAAAGGCCCACAGACAAAAGAGAGAGCCAAAGACCCCAACCAAGCACAATCGACTCATATAATGACGGCTGCCCTGTGTCGGTATCTGTGTGCGCCAGTGCTAGAGTGTTTGTGGGTATCTATGTTTGCTCATATAAAGACAAACTACAATTTCATAGAATCAATAGAAGGGGAGTGGGTGAAACAGGGGAAAAGGAGCCATAAGGACTACCAAGAACTAGCTGCGTTATAGAATGTAGCTATATGTTGTACCTAGACCCATAGTCAGGTACATTATTAAGCTTTCAATTATATCCCTAGGCTAGCAGTAGGAATCTAATAGAATGAATTCACTTAATGATTTCATTGGAATAATAAAGTATAAATAAATTAAAATTTAAAGAAATCTAAACAAATATTTTAAATTAGATCTCTCAATTTATTTAATAAGTAATTAATTTTATTAATAACTATAACTCGTTATAGTATATTTATTACTTTAATACTTAATACCTGTATCAAATGATTTAAATAAAAATCTATTTGGCTCTTTCATTTATATAAATAATTCCTTTATAAAAAAAGAAGGTAAATAATTTACCATCTCTGCCCACCTATCTTCTGTTTTTTGTTGTTCGCTCGTACATAATTAAATGTGTATGCGTGTTTTCCACAAGGATAGGAAATCCCTGGGGTAGGACATTGTAAACAGCTGCTCAGCAATACCGAAGCAATTTCATTGCTCCCAGCTGCGTAAAATTCGTAATACAAAAAACAACTCATAAAAAATGGTGTTTACTGAGCATAAATATTCTGTCACAGGGATTGACGTAAAACCTTTTTGGCGTTCCAAGAAAATTTTGTTTGGATATGCGAAATGTCTTTATCGGTGATAGAGTTATTCGGAACTTACAGCTGACTTTAGTGTGTTTTTCTGTACATCAAGGCATAAATCATAAGTATGTCAGTTAAGATTTACACAAGGCTTTTATATAGCCCGTGGGTTTTGGAGGTGTGCAGTTTAATTATATAGTTTGCTTCAGTTGGGATGACACAATGCGCTGATGTCATGTGCCTTGTATAATTGGAATGATTTTCATTCGACTCTTAACAAGGCAAATTAAATGTTTTAAAAGGCTTTATAAACTAAATTGTATTGCCTAACCAAGTAAGGAACCCTCTACTAAAAGGTGCTTGTTGATTAATTGCAGGGGTTTTTATTGCTTTATCAAGTACTTGATTGTGTCCACTTACTTGAGTCCAATTTTGAACTGATCAAATGCAGCCATGGAAGACATGTTGTTATCTTTTCGCTGTGTCTTTTCGGCTGGAGTTCAATTAACAAATTAACAGCCGCCCTTTAAAAGCAGCCAAAATGTATATTTTTTGGGTCTTTGTAAATTATAAAAATCGTTCTTGGGTTTTGGTTTGTTTGCTTGAGTAAATATTTAAAAAATGTTTTTATAAAAATTGTTTTGTTTTTATGCCTAGTGCGAGTTGAGGAACTGCCAGCTGTTCGATGGCCTTGCAAGGACTGCGTATATCAACAAAACACGGAGCTTTTATGTCCTGCGCACAAACACACGCACACGCGTCGAAAACCACGCTGGAAAATGAAAACGCAGGATGCGAAAAGTTCCGGAATTAACGCTAAATCACATAACTTTTGCCCGAGTCGCGGAATTGAGTTTTGTAGATCGGATCGCTCACTATTGTTGCCCGGTGTCTATCTTGTATATAGTTTGTGGCTTTTGTGGGCGATGGATGGTATTTTATGGCTATGTATAGTCTGGCATTTGTTGCCGTTACGCGTCCGCTTGGCGTGAAGGCAGCTCGTCAACTGCCCGCCAAAGCACAAAAAGTTCTAAGCGTGTCGAAAAGCTTTCGAACGCATGCGAAACATAAAAGCGTTTCTACGTAGGCGATACGATACCGCGAGCCCTTATCAAATAATTCAGTAGTGCTATGCCGCATTACTCGGACTGGGGCGCACTTCTATGGCCCTGACTCACTGCCAATTACATGGCACAAAATATCTCGACTTTGTCCTGCCGCCAAATATCCACTTTATCACTGTCCCAGAGATAGCAGTGGTAATCGTATTTATTCGCACCGGGTAACAAGTTGTGATTTTGCTGATTCGACAATATTTTTTCGATTGGTTCTTTTTTGTTTGATGGGGGTGTCATGCGGTGGTAATCTTTATGGCCCACTCATGCTTTGATAAGAAAGCGTGGAATCAATTTCACGAATGAGTCATTTTTATTGTAGGGAACTTCTAGGAAGCTGTAATCGGGAAAGAATCAATCGGGGCTTTTATGGCTTATCAGGAATTGTTTGGAACCGTACTTCGGTTCGTAAGAAGCACCAAAATGTTGTCAAAGAATTAAAGGAAGTACGTCATAATTTGATTTCTTAAAATTATTAATCCGGCCTTTTATGGGTTATTTCAAAAAATTAGTTGATAAGAAACACGGAAGAGTTTCATAAGATTGGGAATACGTCATATTTGCTTTTCCTAAAATTAATAGTTCTTGAGGCTTATCAATGTTTAGTTCAGAGGAAAATACGAAATTTTGGTTTATCGTTTGGGAGAAACCACACAGTGCATTTTCAACATAAGTGAACCATCCAATATGTTTGTGCTTAGTTAATATCAGTAGAATTTTGTTAGTCATACATTTAATCATATTTTTAGAAACCTTGGGCGATTACTTCATCCTAATGGTCGCCCTTCCTCAAATTAAAATGTTCGCCAGGGAGCTCACATTTCCTCGAATAAAGTCATTCATTAGAAGCAAGTCACCCTCTTATTGTTTTTCTTGTTTTCACTAGAGGAAAAGTAAACAAAGCCGAGTAGCAAAAACAAAATAAAAGATGGCAGGATAAACACAGCTGACTGAAGGAACTTACTCCTGTTGCTGCAAAAAGCTGTTTTCCAGGTTAAAGTTAGCCCAGTTAGTTGGACAGCTTTTCGGTGGAAAGCTTTTAACTGATGAACTGATTTTGATTCGCATTATTGTGTTATTCGATTTGGTCTGGTCTGCCTCAAGTAATTGCCTCTAGTTATGGTCAGTTCTAGTTTTCAGTTTAGCTGGACACGCAACCGCCGCAGACTGGAATCAGCGAAGATTACACCTAATCAAATTATGGAATGGATTAAACGAGCATTTGTGTATTTGTTCACGGAGAAAAATATCTGATAGAGTTGCTAAATATATTTTTTGAACTTTTAAAAGGATGATAGTTTTTTAAATTAATGTGAAACTATTATTATAAAATATAACCAGACCAAAAGATTTTATTATTTTTAAAAGGAAAACCTTAACCTTTAATTTGTTGACTCAAAACAAATTCCAAAATACATTGTTGGATAAAATCCAAAGTAGTCCCGTGAAAAATGTACCCAGGTTTCCGGTAAAATAGGCTGTGGAATTCCTGTCCGCGAACAGAACATCCGTTTTTTGCACAGAGCGGAAGACTCTAATCTTTCCAGACATTTCTAAATCGAAATATTTGAGAAAATCAACATTATTGCAAACTGTAGAGTTAAGAATGATTGTACAAATGCCAGCATAAAATCTTTTAAAAGAGTAGTATTTTATTGTTTTCAGATTGGCATATGCGTACTTTTAAAAAAAGATAAAATATTTTTAACAGCTCTAAAAAATCAAGAACAGTTTTTTTAAATTAAAACTGATCCGGAACTATATAATTTTTGCCAGTGCATGCTTATATGAGCAGCCGACAGATTTGTTTATATTTATGATATGATAAATAAATAACCTTGGCCGGGGGGTAATATAAACTCTCGTGACTTTTGGCGCTTATGTTGCCATGCGCTTTCGCTAGTTGAGCTTTTCGAACAGAACACAACCAGCTTCTATATAGCTAGCTCGCTATATGGATTAAAATGCTCTCTCGTAAACCGAGAGATACATCTCTCTGGGAACGATCGCGTGCTCTGGGGTCGGCACGTTTTTTCGCTATATGTACGAATGGTTCTCTAATTCATTTAAATCAATTTAAATAAAGTTGTCGTTTTTTGTGCAACTCGGCAACGACTATTTCTGGCATTGTCAGGCCGTCACATTGTCGCACATTGTTAGATTTTAAATGATTTTAATTAAACCAAACTGATTTCAATCAGCAGCAACTAAAAAGTATTAATAATGAAAAAAGTTTGCAATTCCGAAAATTGTTTTCGGGGGTTTTCGGTGGCCATATGTTGCTTTCAGGTTTTCCTCCATCTATCTTGTTTATATTGTTTTGGCAAAGACACGGGAAAAAATTATCAAAAATCCAATCTGATATTTTTATTTTATCATTTAAAATGTTATATAGATTTAAAATACTTACACTTTTTTTAAATAATGAACTTCTCAAAAACGTTTTTAATAATAAATAAACAAATAATTATATTTATAAAATATATTTTAATGCTATTAAAATATTTTTAATGTGAGGAAAGAATCTTAATTGAACACGTAATTTTATATAAACATTTTTTTTACAAAAAAATAACTATTAAAAGAAATAATTTGTTTCTGTGTGTTCTTAGAAATCATGTTTTATGGCTCACTGTTTTGAACAGGAATTTAGAGCAGTGAGTAAATGTTTTTTCCAAAAGTGCAAATTCCGATGAATAAAAATTAAATTTGTGGAAACCTCCTCACTGTCGCTTTCGTGTTTTCCCGCCACAAACTCGGCTAAGAAAATGTAAATGGAATATCAAATGTCCAGGAGCTGACTCGAAACAACGTGCCAGCTCAGCGGTTCAAGTCGCACATGATAATCATGAGCATTTCGCGCGGCGGCAACAATTGCCTCATGAATTTTTCAAAGGCGAATCAAATCAAAGTGGACCCTCTGCCACGCCCCCTCATCAGAGTCGCCCTTTCCGCCCCGGCGAAGTCATAATTTTCCGGCAGTTCGCGTGACTTTTCCATGCCATTTCGTGACTTGATTACAGCGCACGGTTAACATGCGCCCTTGTTTTTGTTTTCGTTGGGCAAGGATAATTGGGGAAGGTCCTACTCCGGGGTTTGAACATTTCCCCGAGCCATCAAAGCACCATTCCCGTTCTTCGGTTCTGCACGTGACACAAAACTATTGTCTGTGATTTTTAAAATTCGAACGAAAACTTCTGACACACTTAAGGGCAAAAGCAGCTCACACGTCTGGTTTGAATTGAGGGGACTGAATGAAATGGGATAGCCCTTTAAAAGGAATCGCCTTTAATGGGTATTGATACTGGCGGTTTCAAAGTGCTTTGTGACGACGTAAATAGAGAAATTTATTTTAATTTGCTAGGACTCAGATAGTAGAGAAGTTTATGTAATGTGGTTATATTTCAATCGTTTTAATCAAAATTGGAAATGTAGATTTTAATAGAAATTCAGCAATATTTAATGAAATTTCTTGTAAAAATCTAAAACATATTTAAGACAAATGGCTTTTCATTTGATTTCCATTACTTTCTGTAACAAACGCTTACATGATTAGTAAATTACTTATTGTAAATGTGTGCCCATTAAGACCAAAATAATCCCTTAAATCTTTACCAGCAAAATTTGGCCAACCAAAAACATTGCATACTTCGCGGCAGCCGCAAAAATTTCATCTCAACATTTTGGCATCCCCAAAAAGACGGCCCGACAAGCAAGTAAAACAAAAAGTAGCACCAAATTTGCTAAGCACTTGTAAATAATAATTACAATATTACAGCATAAATAACGAAAAATCCTGTTGTTGGGCAAAGGTCAGCGGAAGTCAACGAAACCGAGCTCAGTAAATTTGAAGCACGTGTAAGTTTTTAATTACAATTAATGGTTGGGTGGTTTGGGTGCCATGTGGAAGGATCAGAGGCTAACGTTTTCGCTGTGTACGTGTGTGCATTGTGTTTTTAGCGGCCTTTGAAGTTGCCATAGACACAAACACATAAGCACAACATGGCTTGATATAATTTTGAAATGGGTGGGGGCGAACAATGTACATACAGGTTTAAATATACATATACATATACTTGCGGACAGGTGTGCGGGCTTTTGGGTTTGTCACTTGACAGCTATCATCTGTATGCGTGTTTCGCTCGTTTGTGTGCAGGTGTTAATATTGTCATGTTTGAGCGTTTAAGCATTTTTAATATCATAACATGTTGCATACTTTATGGGCGGCTTTTGCATGGACTTAACCCATACAAACACACGCGTGATTCACTCACACACATATAAAACTTTTTTAAATAAAGTTCATTTGGATTGTTTTTTTAATTAAGGTCTTAATTAAAAAAATCTTACAACTTTAATACAGAAAAATTGAAAATAAAAATTCATTTTTCACTGGTTTTTACAATTTTATTTATTTTTACTTTTCCACGTTGTGTGTTCAATGTACAATAGTCAAATTAGAATTTATATAAAAAAAATAAATGTAATTTAATTTCTAATCTACAAATTTCTTTTAAAACAGATTAAAGGTGTCACTAAGAAGTTTCAAGATACAAAAAGACCAACTTGCTATGCTACAGAAATGTATTAATATTTACAGGAAATCAGTTTACGAATCTTTCGCTTGCCTAAAAAGCCCCTTAACATTTGAAACCAAAAGGCAGAAATAATCCCCCTTGGCCTTTGAAGCTTGTTGGCCAATTTTCAAGCTAACAAAATATTTACCCACTAGTGCTTGTGTTTATATTTTTTTGTATTTACCCTTACAGCTAAGCTTTAAAAAATCGCTATTTACATGTGTACATTAGATGTGCTTTTAGGGCCACTCCAGGGCCAGCTTAGGGGCTATATCTAAGGCTACGTATATATTGCTATGGATAAATGATATTGCGATGGGGAGTGCTGGACGCAGGCAGGTGGGTGGGTCTCTCAGAACAGGAGTTCCCTATCATAGATGCTGTCCCAAAGTCGCAGCTTCTCGGCCTCGGGCAACTCAATCACTTGCACATCGTGCGATATGTTCAGGCACTTGAACACCTTATCGTCCCGCGAAATGGGCAGCCACGCCCCCTGTGGCTCTTCCTTCTCATCCTGGGCGATCATCGGTATATTGGGATCCCCAGAAATGGCAAACTGAACGATCATGGAGACCAGGCGCTTTATCGTTTTGAACTCTGCCGTTCGGCGCTTCAGCTTCTTGGCCGCCGCATTGTAGAACAAGTACGACAGATCATCCGCGTGGCAAGTGCCGCGCACCTTGCGGCCACAGGTGATGATTCGCATGATGTTGAAGTGCTTCGAGTCGAAGTCGAATCGGTACAGGAACGTGGGGGCCAATGGAGCGTGATGAGCACGCGAGAGCAAAGTCCTCTGTATGCCGTGCCAGAAATATTTGTACGAGAAGAGCTATAAAGTGGAATATTGATTTAGCTTATCTTTTTCGTATTCATCATATTTTGCTAAACTTACATCACTGTACTCCAATATGGTCTTCCTCCCAGGAGTCCTATCGCCAAAGTACAGCTCCCGAACTTTCTTTCCAAAGGCTCTCCTTTGCTCCTCGTTTACGTGGGCGTCCAAGGGCGCCAGGTTCTCGCAGTCACCCAGTTGGCAAAGCAGCTCCGGCCACTTGTTCACCTCGGGAAACATCAGGAGGCCTTCGAAGGAATTGCCGCCGATTACCATGGGAATGCTGTTGCCCCAACAATCGCGCATCATCTCCAGCGGAGACTTGGGAATCACACAGTGTGGGGTCGCATAGGGTTCGATGGTGGGGCCAAAGCTGAACATCGTAAGACGCTGGTGTCTCTCCTCCATGGTTATAATTTCCTCGGCCATCTTTAGCATACTGCTGGCCTTGCATTTCTTCAGATGAGCAAATATCTCCCGATCTTTTGGCTCACCTGTGTATCCCGTGGCCTGAGCCAACCGATAGGGCCAATTTACATGGGTCGGGGTCTGAGCCCAGGGAGCCAAGGCCGCTCCCGACATAATAACAGTCTTGTGAAAAAGTCCTTTTGTCTGATCCGTCAGCATCATGTAATGGGTGGAGGCCCCCCCGGCGCTCTCACCAAAAACGGTTATATTCTCAGGATCGCCACCAAAGAACTGGCAATTCTTTTTCACCCACCGCAAAGCCATCACCTGATCCTTGAGTCCGGCATTCCCGGGAACGTCCAGCTCTTCGTCTCCGAGACTAAGAAATCCCAGGGCTCCGAGGCGATATGAAATAACCACCAGAACCACATGTTCCATCATAATGTAATCCGGACTGTAAAGATCCCGCGAGGCTTCACCCATTTGAAAACCTCCTCCATAAATCCATACCAGAACTGGCAAAGGTCGGTGGGGATGCAACTGAGGGGAAAACAATTAATAAAAATAAATTCCAAGAACACCAAACAATAACTTTAAAATTAGTGTAATAGTTCCTTATCGTTAGGCGCTTACATTCTTATCTATTGGTCGTAAATTTATAAAAACTTGGTTAATCAAAATGATAACAGGATTATATTTCATCATTTGGACTTTTGGTTTGCATCACATTGGTTATTGTATTTGGCAGAAAACTGAAAAATATCTGCCAACATCGTATGAGAAGACTGCACATCAGGTCTCATGCAGTTTAGTTATTCTATATTTTATTACTTTATTGCGAAAATATAAAATTTGTATTTAAACTTACAAATTGACAGTTTAAACATGTTTTTTAACTATTATCAAAGTTAATCCCATCTATCAAGCTTATTAATTTTTGGTATTTCTATTCTACATATTTGGTATTTGGTATTTATATTCGACTCACCTCCCTGGTGTAGACATTCAGGTACAGGCAGTCCTCGCTACCTTGCACCTGCTTCAGCACGATGTTCACCTGGCAGGGCTTGGAGCGGACCCGGGTGCACCGCTTGACCTCTGACCAGTGGTCCGGCTCCACGGGCGCCTTGAAGCGGAGATCGCCCACCGGCGGCTTCGCGAACGGGATGCCCTCGAAGCTGTAGTAGTTGTTGCCGTAGATCGACTGCCACTTCACCCCCTTCACCTTTCCGTAGACCGTGTCGGCGATGACCTTGTCATTGCTGCGCAGGCGCTGCTGGTTCGTCTTGAACTTGACGTAGCTGCAAGGAAAATGTACAAGAAAATTTAATTTAATAAAATAAAAGGCGGCAGAGTCAGAAACACTTTGCTGGCAAAGACACCTCTCGGAGTGTTTGGCTGTTCGCTTTGGATTTTGTTTGTAAACAAACGCTTGACGGCGAGATTCTAGTATTTTTTTGCGAATTTTCAATTAGCGCGTAAACAAAATGGAATATAAATAGCCAATAGTGAAAATAGAATAGGTGTGCGAAGTGATAAAGTGTTTGATGCCCTGTAGGTCAAATCAGCTATCTAAATTACATTGGTCATTGTAAAATTCAATTTTTCAACACATTTTAAAGATTAAAAAAAAAAATAGATTGGATAAAATTAATTATAACATTTAATTTTTCATTTTTTATCACATCATATAATAATGTTATGCACAAGCAATCCATAATCAGAAAAAAATATTTAATGTTTTGTTACGCAAAAAATACACTTTTTGATATATATTTATTTGCCTAAAAATTAATCCTCAAAAATAGTTAAATTCCGAAAGAAGTGCAATTTTAAAAATGTTTTCCTGTTTTCAATATGGGTAATCAAAAGTATTAGTTAGCAAGAAGCATGTCCAGCAAATCGAAGCTCCCATTTTAAATTCTAATGGGTATCGATGGGGGCGCGGCCCATTTAAATTTCAAGTGCGTTTCCATTTGGGAACGTGCGCTCTAAACGACGCGTGAGCCGATCCACAACAGACCGCACTACGACGCGGCGGCAATAGCAGAACTCATAAATGTCTATGCCGTATAGTTAAATAAAATAAAGAAGACGAAATGCCCGGCCCAGACGAAAGTCAAGTACGATGATCACAAATCATGAGAGCAAACGGCTCTACGAGTAGTAAACAGAGGCACCGATTAATTAACAGCTGCCCAGCGTCTACTTCTGGCGATTTTGCAGCCGCAGCCTTCAGGAAATTCCAGTAGAGATCTTTTTCCGAGATGCAATCAGTGTGATCTATTAGAGATCAAGTGCTAATTACCAGTTGGCAGTCGAGGTCGGGCCCTAAGATCCAGTTGTTGAATAACACCTAATTCTAGCATGAGAACTTGTTTCGAGTTTGTCCTTAGGTTGAGACAAATATAACATAGTTTTACCTCAACATATGGCGAATTAAATAATTTGGTCTTGCATGAATTGCAAAATTTCAGAGAAGAAATAGTCTCTGAGTCAAAACGAACAGATTAAGGAAATCCAAATTCAATTCCATTTCAAACATAATTGCATATGTGTGTTTGTATTTTCTGTATTTTTTACAAAAATAAACTGTGCAACTGGCAACTCAAAATATTTACAAATTAAAATACGTATGAGAGGATGTGAAATGGAAATGAAAATGGAAAATTCCGGAAAATCAATCAATATTGCCATGCATCAAAGCTTTGCATGCAGGTCAATGGCATTTTGCTTGAGTGCATTCAGTATTCAATATTATTTTCTCCCAAAAAGAAAAATAAAGAAAGTATAATATTCCATATTCCCATCTATCAAATTCATGCATTCGTGTGTAAAGCGATGCAGAAAGTTATAAATGGCCGTTGATTTTTGATCAAACTCGTTTTATTTACCTTTTTCTTTAAATTTCTTTCCAAAAACAATTTAAGCTATTTGACAAAAAGGCGATGAAAAATATTTGCAGAAGTTTCTAGTTGAGTACTCATAATCGTCGGGATTGCTGACGTATGAAAAAAATTTGGGAATAAATATAAATACACAACTGCAATTCCTTGTCTAATTAAGTTCAAATTGATTTCAATTCTGAACACAATTTAATAGTGTAAAACGATATGGACATTCAGAGCACAAATTAAATTTGAAGTGTGGGAAGGAAATTTAGCCATTTAAGGCAAGCAATTACTGTAAACGAAATAAGCAAAAGTTTAAGTTTGTTGTTTAAAAGTCGAATAATTTGCATTCGTCCATTGAACTTCTTTGCTTCTTGTTTACCTTGCTTGACTTCTTCGTTTAACTTTTTAACTGCGATTTTTTCTCCGGCTTCTTTGCTTTTAGCAAAGTTTTTACGCTCAAGCTAAAACTTTTGTGCTGAATCTGCAACTTAGTGTAATTGCCTTGACATTTGCAAACGTGATTCTTGTTAAATTATTTTTCTAACTGTCACCAAAAAAGGTAATTATGTATGTGACCAAACAATAAGGTACCTTCGTTGATAGTTCAGCCCGCAAATGATTTATATCAGAGGATCGCAAAAAGTTGAGTAATCTTCCCACTGACGCACCATGTTAAGCCAGGGTAGTTTAAAATCTTATCAGTCTATATGCCGATACCGATAATTGATAATTGGCTCAAACAGAAGCAGCAACAATAACTTGGTCGTTATCAATTGTGTGTGGCTTGCTTCGACATAGTTCTCGTGAACTTTTTCGCACTCAAGAGCTCTGATTCTGATTTCCAAAACTGATGTGTAATGCCGAGGAGGTACAAGGTTCACACCAGATGTCTGCTGATCGCTTGGCGAATTTTATTAACAGACTTTAGGCGAGACTTCGTTTTGATGACGCTTTGATTTCGCTAACGCCAGTGCCGATGATGCGGATGCAGAAACGAGACCTTATCTCAACGACTCTATGACTATTAATAAGACCCAAATGGTGAACCGGATTCGGGTCTCTGCCACAGCAGCCTGTAATCTCCTGATAATAAATGAAGCTTGGCGGGCCGGACTTTTCTTATCAGGGCTTCTCAACTTGAACACCGTATGGTCACGGCAACGGGGCTGCTATGTGCAGTGCGAAAAAGTGTGAAACCCGCCAATTGACCTTATTGATTGACGGATTAACTAGACTCAACGCCGGCGGAATGTTTGTTGCCGAAATGCACCGAAAAAAGTTTGTTTGAATGTGTTAAAATATATTTGCAAAAGCGCAAATCAGATGTACATAACCAGTAACAAAATAAAAATACTTTAAATAGCTTATCATCTCGATCTTTTTAGCAAATAACACACCACATGTTTAATATGAACATGCCTTTTTGAGAACAATGAGTTATTTCATAAACTTTAATTAGCGCTCTAATGTAAAAACAAACACGTCATTTCAAAAAGTTTTAACACTCAATGTTTTCAGAAAAGTTTTTATCTTTAAGTTTCCTGTTTCCTGTTTTGAAATGTTAGAAATACTGATGACTATTAGCAAAAAAATATCTAGTGAAATAAATATTAAGCGTGACTTAAAGTGAATTGTGAGACTTACTTCAGTGCAATGCGCATCTGATCGGCCACGGCTATATCGAATGACATCTTGCTGTGGTCTCACACCGTCGGCCACAATCAATTCCCTTCCGGATATATTTGTCTATATATGCGAAACTATTAAATACACAAAACACAATTGGCAAGCTGTTCGAAATCCCAGTGAAAATAAACGCGAACGGCACACACGGAAAATCTATAAAATCGCGGCCGGACAACGGGGCGAATGCGTAACGGGAGTCGGTGTCAGCTGCCGGCCCTTAAACTTTTGCTTTGTAAATTTTGCGCTCCTGTTGGAATTATTTTAGATTCACTACACCCAATGTCACATCACTTGTTGCCGACACAGTAACTGCTCTGATTTAGCAGATGCGGAGTAATTGAAAAAAGGCACCGAATGGCGGGACGGGACGTTGCTGATTTCCAGCCTGAGAATCTAAGGCTGCCGTTGCGCTTTACTCAGGGTCCGCTCGGCAACTGAGCATTTAAAGTAAGCGCCGGCTAAGTTTAGTGCCCGCCGACGGTCGACTCGCACACACAAACGCAAACACAAGCGCTGGCAGCTTGTCGATGATGATTTTTCCACTCGTTTGCCCATTCCGCACTGGCCACGGGGTCGTATGAGTGATATTCTAGCTCTGGCTGTGCACTCAAATGCCTTGGGGCATTCGGTCTGCTCGAGTGGGTCCGCTTGCTGGTCGTTCTGGGCGCCGTTGTTTTGTTTAGGCGTTATCGTTTTTGTTGCTGCCGCTTTGTTTATTGTTTATAGCATGCGCTGCTATTCGGCTATCAGCCCCCCGCAATTGTTATTAATGTTATTGCTCTCGGTGCGCGGAGTTTGGGCATTCTTTGCCTGGTAATGTAAAAGGGATTACATCAAGTGTGGCTGAAATTACAAATCAATAAAAAGAACGCTAGTCAACAATTCCCATAAATAAATAAATATTTTCAAATACTTAATCTTTTTTTAAATTTTGGAAAGTTTACATAAAATACTATATTATTTTAAGGATTTTTAATTCTCATATTTGAAGCGATGTCATTTTTCAACTGTCTCTTTGTAAAGTATCATGTCAATCATGCCTATTTGCCATCAATTCCAAATTATAACTTAAAAACTGTAGGAAAAGTATACATTTTGAAATTAAGTACTTTAAGTGTTTTACTTATGCGTACGATTTATCCAAATTTGAGTATAAGTGAATTATTTTTTTAACAAAAGAAATAAATCAAATATTATTGATCTTACAAAAAGAACAATAAATGTATATTAAAAAGGTTACCTTACACTACCAAGTGTATTTATTTTCATTAACTTATACATTTATTTTGCCTTAGTGAATAATAAACCAGTTTTCCGCATTACTAAATAATTCCGGTAATTTTATTAAGTGCTGTTGAGCGCAATAATACTGCCCTTAGACATGACCATGATAAATGTATATTATGCAATTACCAAAGTAAATGGGAATATCATCGATGGCTCAAATGGTAGAACAAAGGTATTACACGAAATCGATATAGGAACATTGCTGACCATCAAAAATACTCCCAGCTAATTGAGATAGTTTCCCCCGAGAGGAAACACCCGTAACATATTGTTCGCGTAATTATAGAATATTATATCGCCTTACCGCGCAATTTCCCCCACTAAGCCACGCCAACTGACGTGCTTGAATCAAGTTTATTTCCATGTGATAAGTAAACTGATGACTTTTTTACTATGCATGGTAGAAACCGTATTTCATTTTTATATGACAAATTTCATTCACGACTTAATTGGTCAATTAAAGTCAGCGAGAGTAATTCCCTACAGTTGACGCCGCTTTGAACTTGTTTAGCGGCTAATTTACTCAGATCACCTCATCTCAACCATACCCATTAGGGCGGGTCGATTTGTATGGGGCCGAAAAAAGTGATGAATCGTATAGGGGGAACGTAATCTTTAAAGGATTCTAAGCCATATTGGCGAACATACTTATGGCTTAAAATGATGTTTGACCCCCCCCAAACGCGAATGAAAAATACAGCTTTTTTTGAGGAAAATATCATAGTAGTCAGCTCAGATGTATTATTAAATTTAAAATAAAAATTTGAAATTGATATTCAGTACTATAAATGTGCTGACTACTATGATATTTTTCTCAAAAAAACAGTATTTTTCATTCGCGTTTGGGGGGGGTCAAACATCATTTTAGACCATAAGTATGTTCGCCAAAATGGCTTAGAATCCTTTAAAGATTACGTTCCCCCTATACGATTTTTGGGGTCCCAAATCGACATGGGTATTACCCATGTTTCAATAAATTGCCTATTTTATATTCAGCTGCCAAAAGGATTGGTCGCTTGAGTAACCGACATTCAAGTATTATTCCCATAAGGCTTGGACACACTGCTTTGCTAACCTGTCCCTTCTTCCAGCTTTGGCCATAAATTAGGCAATAAGCAACTATTTCCGAGAAGTGCAAGGTAAAGATAAACAACTAGTTAGCCCTAAAAAAAACACTTCCGATAGAGCGTATATACCATGGCGACTCCTGGCCCTTTTCCGATAAGGAATGCCATAAGTATACCAGCTTTTAAGTAAAATGTAAGTTCCTATTTTTCTATATTTCATTAATTATAAAATATTTAAAGCATCTTAAATTTTATAGTTAAAAAAGGGGTTAAAGACCAGTTGAATTAAAGATAGAATAATTGAATTCTCGATCTCTTTTAAGATACAAGTAAGAATATTATTATACTTTATTACAAGTTACACATTGCAAGTTATTATACCACACATTTTCCCAGCTGATATCATTCAAGAAAAGGACAATGTCTGTGTGACAGGTGGGGATTCATGGCCTAAACTATATTTAATTTTGATCTACAAATAAAGTGAACTGCTGGCTGACCTTACTCCGGTCGCTTCTCCGCGTTCTTCTTGGTGAACTCCTCGGCGGTCTTCATGAACTTCTTGTGCTCCTTTACGAACTCCTCCGCCAGGTCAGAGCGGAGCGGATGCTCCGGTTCCGGGTCGTGGACGATGGCTATAAGGGCCTGGAGGACCTGCTCCGTGCGCGTTGTCGGCTTCCAGTTGTCGGTACTGATGATCGGCAGGCACACCTCTCCCTTCTCGTCCACATTCGGGTGGTAGATTTTCGTCTTGAAAAGGATCTTCGGGGGCATGAAGGGATACTGCGGCGGAAAGTTGATTTCGATGCGGAAGGCGCCCTTGTTGTATGGCGCCTTTTCCGGGACCAAAAGACCCGTCCACATCAGCAGGGACTCGTCGCTGCTCTCGATGTCCCGCAGAGTGCTCATCTTGGCCTCAATCAGATCGGAGAGCTCCCGGGTCAGACGACGAGTGGCAGCCATTCTATCAAGGGGATCGGAGATACTTTCCTTTGTTTTCCCTGCGTATCGAAAAAAAACGAAATAATTTATAAAAGTCTAAATAAAATAATTTCCCTATAGTTTAATTGCAAAATTGACAGCAATGTCGAAAGTTTCTGTCGGACTCTGTTTTACACAATGTGTAATACACATGAGTTATTCCATACACCACTTATATAAGGTTTTTAATATTACAAAAATATCCCTTTGATAAGATACAGATATGCCGACGCTTTATTTTTAATTTTAAATATAATCCAAACTTGAAACAAAAATTTAATTTAAATTTGAATACAAATTTGGAGATTTGCCAGCGGCAAAGCTGCTTGCACGCCTGCCACGCGACCATGCTCAATTCATCACAGTCATCTTTCGTATTAATACAACGAAAACAACTTATCCAATTACGTATTGAAAGTAAAATTGTTGAACAAGCACATTATGGAATATATTTAATAAATCATTTGGTCGTATATACAATTTCTAGATAATTATTTAGCTGTACACTTGTTTGCCTTAGAACAATAAATCCTTGGTGTCATCATATAGGCTCTCCCAAACCTTTACTTTGGACCACTCGGGCAAATCGATGAACTTCAGGTCATCACTAATGTTGAGGCACTTGATGACCTCGTCGGACTTTCGAACAGGCTCAATGGTCAAAGTGTCCATTCCGTTGATCTTCTCGTTATAGGGACTTCCAGTGGCTGCAAACTGGGTCCAGATGCCCACAGTTCGCTCGATGTTCCGGTACTCGCGACTCTCTTTGGGCAATCGACGGGCCAGCAGACTTGTGAATTGATATGTTAAATCGTCTGCATGGCTCACTCCCTTGACACCACGTCCCATTCGCATAATGCGGTAAGGGAAGATGAGCTCTTCGGAGTCGAAATCAAATCGGTAGAAATATACAGGGGCTCCGGCGGCATGGGTGTGTCGGGAATGGACCACCCTCAGGGCCGGAAACACGAAGTAGTAAATCGAACAGAGCTGGAAAAGTATGAAATCTTTAAATTAAAGATCTTATCTTAAAAATGTTATATCCTTACATCCATGTAATTATCTGGGGTGCTTTCTGCCCCAGTGCGATGAGCATCGCGAATCTTAGCACTCCAAGAGTCCAGCTTTTCTTTGCTAGGTTGCGTGGCCAGCAATTCCCTGGGAATAAACGGAGTACCAGCATCCACCTCCTTCACAACCTGTGGCAACATCTTGATCTCTGCGAATTATAATTAATATTTTATTATATTTCTTTTAAAGCTTTAACTTATTAACCACTCACCCGGCATCCACAGCAGTCCCTCGTAGGAAGTGTTTCCTATCATCATGGAGATGGAGTTGCTCCAGGCGGTCTTCATCAGCTCCTTGGGCGGCTTGGGTATCACGCACTCGGGCGTCGAGAATGGTTCCAGAGAAGGCCCAAAGGCAAACATAATCTTGTTCATGCGATCCTCCAGGGTCAGCACATTCTCCTCGACCCGTATGAGATCTTTAGCCTTCACGTTCTGCAGGAACTCCAACACATCCTTGTCGTTGTCCTCGCCCTTGTAGCCGACCAGCTTGGCTATCCTGTAGGGGTTATGGGTAATATCGCCGTTGTAGGCCCAAGGACAAATGGCACTGCCCGACTGCAAAATACCGCGATGAAATAGTCCCTGGGTCTGCTCGGTTATCATCATGTAATGAGTCGATGCTCCTCCTGCACTTTCTCCGAAAACGGTGATGCAGTTGGGATCTCCCCCGAAACTGGCGCAGTTATTCTTGATCCACTTGAGAGCCAACACCTGATCTTTGAGGCCAGCGTTTCCGGGTACATTTAGCTCTGGGGACTTTAGACTCATAAAACCTATATTGAAACGGAAACAGTTAGTAATAATATGTGTTATAAGGACATGAACCTTACCCAAAGCACCAAGACGATATTGTATAGTGACGAGAACCACATCTTCCTTCACGAAGTAGTCCGGACCATACCATTCCCGATTGGCCTCGCCAATAATAAAGCCACCTCCATGGATCCAAACCATAACCGGTCGGGGTTTATCGGGCTTGACCTTAAATGGTAGAATAGTACATAAATTTTAGCAGTTATATTAGAAAATATTTGAGAAATTATTGCTTAAGTTCTCTTAATAAAAGAATTAAGGGATTACAAAAGCTTTTAGAGCTTTCAAACTAGCTTTCCTAAATTTTGATCTTTATCTTTAAACTTTGTTCCATAATCGTATCTTTAGAGATTAGATATAACTTTAGATATACCTAAAAATATCATAATTTTGTATGTTTCTTTCTATCTTTCTTTTTATCTTGCTTTCAGTTGATCTTGATCGACCCAAAACTTTATTTTCTTTTTATCCCTTTGTAAACCTTTAAGGCCAATTCGACCCCTTATTTCATATTAGGTTTGAAAATTATATTTATGCTTTTGTCATACTCACATTGTTGGTGTAAACATTCAAATAAAGACAGTCCTCGGAGCCCTCGACCTTATCGAAGACGAATTGCACCTGCACGGCCTTATCCTTGGGCTGGCTGCAGTCTCTTACTCCCTCCCAGGGGGTGGGCCTCTGTGGAGCCTTGAATCGCAACTCCCCCACCGGCGGCTGGGCGTAGGGGATTCCCTCGAAGCTGAAGTAGGGCACATCGTAAAGCGACAGTCGCTTGACTCCCCGCACTTTTCCATACTCCGTCTCGGCAACAACTGTTTCGTTGGTGGACTGACGATACTGCTGGACTTTATGCTCGATGGTTCTGCAATTGCACGATGGTACATATAATTAGCATAACAATATTGGCCTCAACTAGCACCCGGATAATTTGATATTTTTGTCACAAAGTCAATTATTTTAATTCATTCTCAAAGCCACATGCCAGAGGGCAGACTGCATTCATTGCATTAAATTTAAATTGTTTTGCTGCTGTTCATCACATCGCATCCACCAGCCCATCCCAACACTTCACAATCCATTTCTCAGCTGCATGGAAACACTTGGAAAAATTAGGGTTTTGAAAAATATATTTTCACGGTCAGTCATGCATTATTTTTGTAAGTGCTTATGCGCCTAGGAATTTTAAAATTTACAGTCCTTGAAGAAAAATGTTTAGTAATTTTTTTAATTATTTTAAAAAATCAAAGTTTTACTGCAATTTGATTATTTTATAAATTGATTCCTGACAAATTTAAGGACAGATAAGTTGCTTTTGCTTAGTGTACACGTAGCCATAGTGGCCCGCTCAGCCTGGACACCAGGTTTAGGTGGTTCAGTCGACTGTGTGGTCCACCTGCTAACCAGGCACGTCTGTCAGTGATAAATTAACACAGTCCAGTGACCAGTGGAGCAGTACTCAAAAATTAAAGCCCAGGACTGCCCTTAAATCATTTGTAGTTTAAGCTTTAAACACAGGCTACCCCTTGCACTGCTGTAGATGAACATCAAAATGTAGTCATAATCTTGTGAATATACAGTAAGCATGGTCAATTGTTCTGTCTTATCACCAGTTGTCAGTTTCTTATCACAGACCAAGCTCTTAAGTATAATTAATTATTTTATTTCACTTTAAAAATAAATGCCTTTAATCAGAAAGGTCCAGAGCATCGTACATACTCATACCCTATTGACGTTTGAAAATACACTTAAATATAATATTACTAGCTGGGCATTAATTGAGTTGTATGTATTTATTCTATAAAATATTAATCACGAAGATAATGTGAAAAATTGCTGATAATTATTCTGAGCCCTACACAGACTTTTAATTGCATTACAGTGAGGCAACAAAATGAAATCACACCTATTTAGCTGTCATCGTGATAAAATTTTAATTTGCCAATTATAGGCAATACATTTAAAGCGAAATGCCGTGAAACGAGCTGAAACTGAAACTATTTTTACCAATCGGCTTCATTATCAAGGTTAATGCGTGATAAGAACCGGACCAGAGTTTAAATGACTTTGAAAATAAAATAATTATCATTGGATCCACAACAAGCCGAAATCAATATTTAATTATTGTTATCATCTATTGACATGCTACTCGTTTTTAAAATTTAAAGGTGCAGCAATCATTATAGAATTTACAGATGTTTACATCACAAGACAAATAAACCCCTTGTTAAACTTAAAAGGTGCACCAATCATTATAGATCTTAGAGATTTTACCATCTTGAAAATATGCGGTCAGTTACCGAACAAAACAAAGTATCTCAATTAATTGCTTACATCAAATGGTTTTGATATATCGATTAAATGGCAAGTCATAAAGTTTCGGGTATATGGGATAATAGATATAAAATATCTCTTACGTTATACTGATTAGGCTATAAAAACGAATTTATGAATGAAATCGATTAATTAACATTAAGTGACAGTTTTATTACCTCAACCAAAAACTTTTTCGTAAGTAGTACGTAAAAACTTTTACAGTTATTGGTTTTGATTGGCCAAAATGAACAAGTCTTTGTAAATAATAAAAGGTAATCCCATTGTAATTTCGCAATATGGTTTAATAAAATACAATTTTAGCTGCTTTCATCAATGATATTTGATGACCATACCCTACCTATAATCATCACGATTGCGTAATTCCTTAAAATCTAATCTCTCGGCTGCAAAGCTGCCTCAATTAGAACGCTAAAAATTAATAATTCCTACCATCCACAAAATTAGTCATGCCTGACAGTGAAGAACAGAAATTACTACAAAAAAGGCAAAAAAGAGCTGAACAAACAAAAAACCCGAAACACGAACCGCTACAATTGACAGAGCTTACCAACCACAACAAAGGCACCCACAACAACAATAATCGAAAGTATAGAAAGAACACTCTCCGACATTAATAAGCGATAATTTAATAAATAATTCCCGGCATTAAGGTCAACGGCGAAACTTACTTGAGGCGCCAGCGCAGGCGCTCCACAAAGCCGAGGTTCTTGTTCATATCGAATAGACTAGTTCGCCAGGCACCGCGATCCGATCGATTCACTTTGTGTATTATACACAGATATGGCCACGAGCTGCGTACTGTATCGCGCCAGCGCCAAACCGAAACTGAAATTAAAAACACACTTTTTCACATCGAATTCCAGCGGCGGAGCGTCCAGCAAAAAGCGCGCAAAATAGGCGAAAACAAGGCAAAAAAAAAGTTATAGAAAAAATATACTACATTAACACAAATATCAGAATACAAATTACTCAAAAAAGAAGAGTGTCGAGAGCGGTAGAGAGAGAATAAAATATACGAAATGAATACAACAAATTGAATTTCAAGTGCGGAGCCGAGATAAACAGAATAACTGATATAGCAACAACCGATCATCGGGCGTGGGCTGTCGGGTGGAAACTTGGGCGGGGGGCGTGGCAACACCTCCTAGCGAATGCATAATTAATCAACACTGCAAAAAACGAATCTCTTTATAGCCCGATTTAACAAAACTTGACCAATTATTTAAATCTCTTGGTTGGGTATCTTCGAGATAGAAAAGTATCTTATGGTGTCTTAGAGTATTTACCTTTGCCCAACCAAGCACACCACTCACTAGCCGATCTATCTTAAGTATCTGAAACTATTAGCTATCTTAAATCTACTTGTCACTAAATCAAGGGGAAAAAGGGGTGGGCCGCCCACTGAGTGGGTCAACAACATTTTGATCGCGCCGGCAAAACTACTGTAAACAAACAAACTGATGCGTTTTGTTTTTGTTTACACGGTCACCAAGCTTTCGAATGGAGTGGGGCGTTGGCACAAAGCTTTCGATCTGCTTTAACGCAGAAAAGCTAGACAGTGGGCCAAATTGCCGTTTAGTCCTTCAAATTATTTTACTTTAAATATTAAGTAATAAATTAAATTAAATAAATTAGCACATTTTACTCGTTACTTCAGACCAGCAATGGTAGTTACTGTTGTGATATTTATAAATAACTTTCTTGTTATAATAAAGAAAATATTAAAATTTAAAAATTGAATACCAATTTATTGAAGGCAGTATACAAAATCTAATAAAAAACTCCATTTAATAAATAATTATAAAAATAATAATAAAATAAACTTTTGAGTCGTCCAAGTGGCCTGTACTAATTCGCTTTACTATATAATCGATTCCACACTTCCAGACCCTCCTTTTCGACTTGTGTTACGCACTCCACCTCCTGGCCAATGTTCAATACCTTGAAGGGGGACTTCGTGGAGACGGGTAGCCACTGATCCGGTCCCGTCTCCGGGCAGTTGGGATTGCCGGTCCTGGCAAAGGACGTCAATATGCCCATCATTCGCTGGATGGTCAGGTATTCCGCCGAATCCAGCGGCTGCTTCTTTTGGGCCTGCTTGTGGAAAACGTAGCCCAAGTCGTCCGCATGACAGACACCGCGTTTGATGTCATCACCGCAAAGCTGGTTTCGCATCAGGTTCAACTTTGGCGAATCGAAGTCGAACCGGTATAGATAGGTGGGTGCTTGGGCGTGGGATAATCTGGAGAGGACCACCCGGTGGATGCCGTGCCAGAAGAGCTTGTAGCTGAAGAGCTGGTGGATCGAGATGGATTAAATCAGTTCGCTTTATCATTATCATTTATACATTTTAATAAGCATATTAAAAGAATTATGTAGTTCCTTTGAAACGAACTTTTAAAAGAAACAAAACTAAATATAGGTATAAATAATGTCATTGTGTCTATTTAAGCCCTGAGAATATCAACAGAATTTATTCAAGTAAAATATCAATTAACTAGTAAGAGAAATAGACAACAAAATTAATTATTTCATAAAAAGAATTATGTAGTTCCTTTGAAACGAACTTTCAAAAGAAACAAAACTAAATATAGGTATAAATAATGTCTTTGTGATTTTCTGTCTATTTCAGCCCTGGGAATATCAACAGAATTTACTCAAGTTAAATATCAATTAACTAGTAAGTGAAATAGACATGCAAAATTAATTATTTCTTAAGTTTACTCACGTCTAGAATCTGTGTGATATTACACTTGGTGATTCCTCGGGGTCCGTAGTGATGTTTCACCAGAGCATCGGAAGCGGTGATGCGCTCTTCGACGCTCATCGAGTGATATAGCTCGTGGGGCAGGACCATCGCCGGTTCCTCTTTAAGCAGATCCAGCATGTAACCATTATCCAGCTGGCAAAAGGGGTAGCACACCAGTCCCTCAAAGGAAGTCCCGCCCAGGAGCAGGGGCACTTGGCAGGACCACGCTTCCTTCATTAGCTGCTGAAAGGGCGATTGAATGAGGCCTCCGACGACGGGAACAAAGGGGTTGAGAAAGCCAAAGCAACGATCGCGGGCTGAGATGAATTCGTGACCCATCAGCTTTTCTGCATTCACGCTACGCAGAAAGTTCAGCATGGAGGCCTCTTCCACTGGTCCTTCATATCCGGCTGCCATGGCCAGGCGGCAGAATGAACTCTTTTTTTCGGGAGCGTCCACCCAGGGACTAAGAATCGATCCGGACATCATAACGGCCTTGTGGAAGAGACCCTTCGCCTGCGGCAGGCACATCATAAAGTGCACCGAGGCAGCCCCAGCACTCTCACCAAAAAGCGTAATATTCTGCGGGTCTCCGTTAAAGTTGCGAATGTGCTGGCGAACCCATTGAAGAGCTAGCAACTGATCCTGGAGTCCAGCATTACCCGGCACATTCGACTCGCTACTCGGCATGCTAAGGAATCCCAGTGAGCAGAGGCGATAGTTGAAGAGCACGTACACAACATCCTTGCTCATCAGATAGTCCGGTCCGTACTTGCTCCTTATAGCTCCGCCCGTGCGAAATCCTCCGCCGTATATATACACCATAACAGGAAGGGGTGGCTTCGATTCATCAAACTAGGGGGTCATTGTATTAAATTTACGAAGAATCAAGAAAGAAAACTTAAATAATATTAAAGATACAATATTTTAAAATCACTGTCAGATGCCTTTCGAGAAAAGGGGTTTTATAAAAATATTTAAAAAAAAAAATAAAAACAAAAAACTTTTAAATTAATTTGTGATAATACTTGCTTATAATTTAAATCACAACAAATTGTGATGGTTCCGATTTTAGATCGGAATTAATTTATTTTGTCAATACCATTTCAATAGATGGCTTGTGGTAAAAGGTTTATGTAATTTAATTGGTTAATAGAGTGACAGGTATCTGATAGTCGATGGACTCGAGTAAAGCAATTCTTGATACTTAATCAGTGATCCCATTTATCCCTCCTTGAGATAAACTGCTTAACAGACTTAAAATGTGTTTTCTAAAATAAAGCATGGAATTCGTCATCGTAAAAGCTAAGTTTGTTTTGAACTTGATAAGCAGTCACTATCTCGCTAAAGTTTGGTCTTCATAAAGATTTCCTCACAGTCAAAGTTGTGCTTTACTCGAGATCGGAGATGTCGTTCGAATAGTAAGAGCAATTTTTCATCCCGATATATATATTAACAAATAATTTGTATAATATTTGCAGTGGTGAAACTTCCCCGGTGGTGCAGACCACACATGGAAAAGTGCGGGGAACACTTCTAAAGGGACTCTATGATGATCAATTTTACGCCTTTGATGGCATCCCATATGCCGCTCCTCCGCTAGGACCACTGCGCTTCAAAGAGCCAAATGATTTTGAGCCATGGCGAGGTATTCGAGATTGTTCAAAGCCGCTAAGCAAGTGCCTGCAAGTGAGCTCACCATCAAACTTGGTAGAGGGCTCCGAGGATTGCCTTTACTTGAATATATCAGCAAAAACGGTGAGTTTTGATCATGTTATTGTTGAATACTTTTAATAACCAAAACCATTCTCGATTGTATTAGCTGCACAGCGAAAGGCCCTTGCCTTTAATGGTCTATATCCATGGTGGTATATTTATTCGCGGGGATTCCTCGAGACGAGCCTGGGGTCCGGACTACTTTATGCGAGAAGATGTCATTCACGTGAGCATCGGGCATCGTTTGGGACCTTTAGGTGAGTAGTAACTTGCTCGAGACCTTTTTGCTGATATTTGCAATTAAACTCGTCTTTAAATTTGAATTACAGGCTTCCTCAGCTTTGCGGATCCTTCGCTGAAAATTCCTGGCAATGCTGGCCTCAAGGATATAATTATGGCTCTCCGTTGGATAAAGGCGAATGCAGGCAACTTTAATGGTGACCCCGAAAGAATCACTTTATTTGGCCACAGTTCTGGCAGCATGATGGTTCAAATGCTGTTGGCCAGCCCAAGAACCGAAGGACTTTTTCACAAAGCCATTCTTATGGCGGGCTTTTCCATGGAACTGAATCGTCTCCCCCATTTGGAATATCGCCTGGCGAAACACTTGGGATACGAGGGAGAGAATGTAGATAGCCAGGTTCTGGAGTTCCTCCTGAAGGCAGATCCGAAACTGCTTGTCTCTGCGGACCTTTTCACTCCCGAAGAGAAGGGTCACGATCTTATGTTATTTAAACCCAGCATTGAGAGCTATGCGACCCCTAATGCTGTTCTCCTGGCGGATCCCAAAGAACTGCAGCGGAACACCTGGAGCAATCGCATTCCTATCATTTTGGGAGCCAATAAAGATGAGGGACTCCTTTCCGTGGTCGGCTTAAAAACCGATCCAAAAGTCTTGCAGAATTTCCAGGAATATCCGGAGCGGGTGCTTCCACCTTCCCTTAAGTATGGCTCCGATTCAGCCCAGAAACGCGAGATGGGACTTAAATTGTTGGAGTACTTCTGCAAGGCGCATGGTGAACAACTCAAAGTGGAGCACTTCGATGTCATAACAGAGATCTTCACCCACAACACTTTCCATTCGCTAGACCGATTGATCCAAGCCCGATTGGCATACTGCCAGGCACCGACTTATTTTTACCGCTTCGATTTCGATTCACCGGACTTCAACTTATACCGGGTTCGATTCTTAGGAAAGGAGCAGCGCGGAGTTACTCATGTGGACGAGCTGGGCTATATCTATGTACTACCGGCCACTTTTAAGTTAGACAAATCAAGAGCGGAATTCTCCACGATTTGGCGAATGGTATCAATGTTTGTGCACTTTGCAGCCACCTCGGATCCCAACTCTCCGCTTACAAAGCCTCTTGTGGATTGGAAACCTGTGGGTTCTGGAGCTCGAAAGGTTCTTAGTATCAGCGAGGAACTGAAGTTCATTCCTTTTTCCATGCCAAAACTTAAGTTTCACGATAATTTGTTTGACCAGGCTGGAGTAGCTCTGTTTTAGATGGGATGACCAAAAGCAAAACCTAATCTACGCAAAAGTAAATAAACTTTCGGCTTTTATAGTTGACGAGATCAGGGGATCTTATCTTTCAAAATACCCCCACTTTTTTCCTAGTTAATCAATTTTTAACCTACGTTTTTTCATCAAAATGTTTTTCAAAACAATTAAATGTGGGATTTGGTTTCGAATGGCGAAAGATTACTTACGTGCTTGGTGTACACGTTTAGGTACAGGCAATCCTCGCTGCCGATGACCTTGCCCGTCCGCCTATCCATTTGCAGGGGAATTGACCTTTCCTGCCGGGCATCCAGCTCCGAGTTCCAGGCATCCGCTGGTTGAGAGGCCACAAATCGGAGTTTCCCAAGTGGAGGCTTGGCAAAGGGAATCCCCTCGAAGCTGTAGAACACATCACCATAAATACCACTCTGCCGACGACCCCTCACACTTCCCACTGACAGCTCGACAACCTTGGAATCGGAATCACCAGGTGAGGGGCAGGTGATTCGCCTGATGCCATGGCCACAAAACGGTTTAAGGAATCGAAAAGGTTTGATCAGACATCGACTACTCGGCTGGTAGAGTTTCCACATGTCATAATCGAGTACTTTTATTTGAGCTTTGACGAACGGTAGACTCGATCCGGGCTATAGGCTAAAAGCAGTTCCCGGGTCTAGTGAGGCCGATAAATGAAACTTTTTTGATTGCCAACTGAGTGGAACAACAATAGGTATATAATTCCGCAACAAAAATTTTGAACAATAACATCACACAGGATTAAAAGTTAATATATTGGAGTCTATAGCGCCTCGATGGGCAACTCCTGGTGCTCACAATCGCGACAACGACATCCTTGGCGATGTTCCGCCTCTAGAAGATCTAGAATCTGCTCATTATCACACACTTTATACAGCATGCTGCTCTCATTCGACTCCTGACTTTCATATTGTGACTCTGTTGGATATTCTTCCTCGACGTACTCCGTCTTTTCATCCGTAGTTTCGGGTGCATCCTTTTGCTTCTGATTACACATACGAAATTTCCGGACTTGGACCTCAATTATTGGCTTGTACCACTCGTACAGTTTTGGTAAGGAAAAAATACAAACGTGTCCTGAAAAAAATAACAAATATAAATTATTATTAGTTGCATGATATATGTAAATACTAGTTTTTTTTAGTCTGATTTAAGATTAATTAAAAAACAATCCACCTACCAATTAGAATCAAAGTCAATCCGTTGCAACAATCGCCCAACAAGTTAATACCACAGAGCAAAACAAGGAACTTCCATGTATCCTCCCACTTCTCCACCAGAAACAATCCCATCATACGGTTTAAGATAGAATTCACATATATAACTGCAATCCCGGCCAGTCGAATTGTGTCCTCCCGGGGAATTTCAATTTTTACATCAGGATACAGACGGGAGATCTGATCATTGCTTCCACCCTTCTTCCAGGCCCTGAAGAACTGCATTACCAGGCGATGACCAATGGCCGCCAGGAGTACAGTGATCCCTGCCATGCTGACCACACTGATCACCGAGTGGGTCATAACGTCCAGTAGCAGGAGCAGAATGCCCGTAAAGACGATCAGTGTCACTCGGAAGTTGCGCCACAGCAACAGGTCCTTCAGCTTCAAAAACAGCTGGCTCGAGTCCTCATCATTACTTGAAGTTTTCGAATTCATATTTTCGATTTTCCTATCTTCGTTTACGGATACTGACGATGATCTAAAAGTTTTAGATTTCAGAATTGAGTGCTTTATCAAGGGCCAACCAGATAGTCAGGAAATAAAACTTGAAAATCAGCTCTTAGTTAATTTTCTAAAGTTGTCAAGCACATACGAACATATTGAACCCAGTTTACTTTTTACTTTGGAAATTATTTTATTATTATTACCATTTATCTGTTTTAGATTACTACATTAAAATAATAATAGTCAAAATAAATAGGATTCCAAGTTCTGACGATTCCAAAAACATTTTAAACTTTTGTTAAAGGCTATGCCCTTATTGATTGACCATGACTGACCAAATTGAATACAATGTAAATAACGACTATATTCAGACCCCTCATACAGCCATATTTATTATTTTAAAAGTATACCTATTTCGCGCGCACCCAATCGATAAGTGCGCAGAGTGGATCGATAACTGCGCAGTTCTGCACAATACAGAAAAAATTAAGAGCAAAAAAATACTAAACGAAAAGCAGGCGGTGGCTCTCGGTGTGAAAACATTGCACCCACCCCTCTTCCACAAGATTAATACACATAATACTTAAGATTAACCTTCGTATATTTCCTGAATAAATAATTTTCGTTGAGTGGATAATATTTTAAGTATCGCAGAATATTTTTGAAGCACATAATTGTTCTGTTGAACAAGTTTAAAGTAAGTTATTGTTGGAAAAGATTCCAATATATTAAAAATTTTTGTTCATGAGAACTTCCCAACTAAAATGTCTTTATGAAAAACAAATAAACGAACAGAATATCCAGAATATATATAATTTTTATAGATTTTTTAATGTTTGGGTATTTTTAAAAGATTTTTGGTATTGTTCCACGCCACGGTCACACTTAATCTACCAAACAAGCGTGCTTGTGCTGCGAAATTTTACTGATCTTTAAATTGGGTAAATACCGCCAATACAATCGCATCTGAGTCCTCTTGTCGATGGTAAAACAATCTTGGCCAAGCGCTAGCAATGTTCAGTAGAAAACAACAACGAAACCGAGCCGAATCCAAACAAACAAATCAAAAATCGGCCTGACAGGGGTTTCCGTGCCAGCAGAGCAAAATCGATTGGTAAAGCGCGCTTATATTATCTAATATCCGAACAAATTGTGAAGTTTATTTTTGTGAAACCCAGAGCTACGTGCGATATACGTCTGTTGTAGATCCATTCTCGGGCATTCCAACGTATACGCTCGCAGAGTCAGACCCCAAAATCGTAGCTCTACACTTTTTCCGTTGATTTTTCGTAGTCGCGTGTGAGAAACTGTAACTAGAAACCAGAAACTAGAACCCAGGAACAGAAACAGAAACCGGTAAAAATCAATATGCGTGAATGCATCTCTATCCACGTGGGCCAGGCGGGAGTCCAGATAGGTAACGCCTGCTGGGAGCTCTACTGCCTGGAGCACGGCATCCAGCCCGATGGCCAGATGCCCTCCGACAAGACGGTGGGCGGGGGCGATGACTCGTTCAACACGTTCTTCAGCGAGACCGGAGCGGGAAAGCATGTGCCCCGCGCCGTGTTCGTCGACCTGGAGCCCACTGTGGTGGACGAGGTGCGCACCGGTACCTACCGCCAGCTGTTCCACCCCGAGCAGCTGATCACCGGCAAGGAGGACGCGGCCAACAACTACGCCCGCGGGCACTACACCATCGGCAAGGAGATCGTCGACCTGGTCCTGGACAGGATCCGCAAGCTGGCCGACCAGTGCACCGGGCTGCAGGGCTTCCTCATCTTCCACTCGTTCGGCGGAGGCACCGGCTCTGGCTTCACCTCGCTGCTGATGGAGCGCCTCTCCGTGGACTACGGCAAGAAGTCCAAGCTGGAGTTCGCCGTCTACCCCGCGCCCCAGGTGTCCACCGCCGTAGTGGAGCCCTACAACTCCATCCTGACCACGCACACCACCCTGGAGCACTCGGACTGCGCCTTCATGGTCGACAACGAGGCGATCTACGACATTTGCCGACGCAACCTGGACATCGAGCGGCCCACGTACACCAACCTGAACCGCTTGATTGGCCAGATAGTGTCCTCGATCACCGCCTCCCTGCGCTTCGACGGAGCCCTCAACGTGGACCTCACCGAGTTCCAGACCAACCTGGTGCCCTATCCGCGCATCCACTTCCCGCTGGTCACCTACGCCCCGGTCATCTCGGCCGAGAAGGCCTACCACGAGCAGCTCTCGGTGGCCGAGATCACCAACGCCTGCTTCGAGCCGGCCAACCAGATGGTCAAGGTGGATCCCCGGCACGGCAAGTACATGGCCTGCTGCATGCTGTACCGCGGCGATGTGGTGCCCAAGGACGTGAACGCCGCCATTGCCACCATCAAGACCAAGCGCACCATCCAGTTCGTGGACTGGTGCCCCACCGGCTTCAAGGTGGGCATCAACTACCAGCCGCCCACGGTGGTGCCCGGCGGAGACCTGGCCAAGGTGCAGCGCGCCGTGTGCATGCTGTCCAACACCACGGCCATCGCCGAGGCCTGGGCACGTCTGGATCACAAGTTCGATCTGATGTACGCCAAGCGAGCCTTCGTCCACTGGTATGTGGGCGAGGGCATGGAGGAGGGCGAGTTCTCCGAGGCCCGCGAGGATCTGGCTGCCCTGGAGAAGGACTACGAGGAGGTCGGCATGGACTCCGGTGACGGCGAGGGCGAGGGTGCTGAGGAGTACTAGAGTGGATTGGCGGATCCCTCAAAACGCTGTTTATTTTCACACGCTCCCACTCGCATGCATAAATTCTCTGCGATACTGTAAAGCGAACAAACAAGAAAATAAAGAAAAAACACCAAAACACACATGTAGTATTTTCATTATCCATTAGAATAGTCGACCTAAATCAGTAATAACTTACAAAATAATTTTAAAATCGAATTAAAAAAGTCGCTAATTCATTTCTTTTAAACGCAAAAATATTTGTATTACCTAAACCACATTTACTATCTTGAAAATATGTTATTTAATCTACACTTTCATTTAAATGTAAGCTGCTCTTTTGTAGGTTGCTTAAATACCTTTATTAACTTAAGTTATTCGTAATTTTACAGTCCTACAGAACAGCAGGAAACTATCGCTCATAAAGGTCACTTCTTTGGGATCATGGACGCCGCTACCTAGGAAAGCGCTACCTGGTTTGACGGTAAATCCTTATAGTTTGCTGTTGGAAACGGATTCCGAGAAGGGATTAAATATGGCAGTTCCTTAAAATATGGAGATTATGGTAAGGCTTTCCCCAGGTTTTCTTCAGAAAGACACGTGCGCATTTAACCCAAATGATGCTGTTCGAGATGTATCTAACCCACGTGACAAGTCATGTGACCCTGTTTATACCCGATGTATTAAAATGGTATCAAGATTGTTTTATACTTAAAACTTCCTAGTTTAATTCAAATCGATTTTAACTTAGAGATGTTTGATTTTAAAATCCATTGTCTATCGTTTTTTATTCCAAAAGAAAAGCAATTTTTCGAAATTTCATTTTACGCAGGCTTTGAACAAAGCAACTAATCAATTAATTTGTTGTTTTAGTCATCGCCCCTGTTCAGAGTTATGAAACTAAGTATGTTTTAAAATTTATTTCTATAAGTTTTCCAGACGGCTTCTATACCTACATGAAGAGGTTGATGTTCAATGTTTTTATATATTGCCCAAGGTTTTTATATTTTTCATCATACGAAGTTATTTAAAACCGTGAACATCATATAGTGTTTATTTTTTATACCCTTGCAGAGGGTATTATAATTTTGGTCAGAAGTTTGTAACGCAGTGAAGGAGACGTTTCCGACCCCATAAAGTATATATATTCTTGATCAGGATCAATAGGGGAGTCGATATAGCCATGTCCGTCTGTCCGTCTGTCCGTCTGTCCGTCTGTCCGTCTGTATGTCTGTTTCAATACCGTTTGCGAGCTCAGTTTAAAAGCTAGCGCCTTGAAACTTTCACAGTCGTCCTAAAACATGTGTACGCAGATCAAGTTTGAAAGCCGACCCGATCGGACGTCTATATCCTATAGCTCCCATAGGAACAATCGGATATAGCTTTCACAAAAATGAAGATATTTCGCTCAGTGTAAGAGCTATTGGCATGAAACTTTCCAAATCGTATTTTTTTGTGCGTACCTTGATCAGGGTAAAAGCGCGTGCCGATCGAACGTCTATATCTTATAGCTCCCATAGGAACAATAGGGTGAAATCGGTCAAAATTTGTCGTTTTTCAGGATATTTCGCGTTGAATATAAGCTATTCCCATGAAACTTTCCAAATCGTATTTTTTTGTGCGTACCTTGATCAGGGTAAAAGCGCGTGCCGATCGAACGTCTATATCTCATACTTTTCATATTAACAATAGTTAAATGCTGTGCAAATATCCCTTTTTTCTATTTTTACATGACATTTTTGCAGTACTAAAGCTGCTGACATGAAAATATGCAAATCTTATTTATTTATGTATACGTTGCTCAGGGTAATAGTTCTTGCTAATCAGAAAACTGTATACTAAAGCTGCCGTTTAATAATTAAATTGGTTACATGTAGGAAATATTTTTTTTATATATTATTAAGTTAAGTTTTTTTTATATATTATTACACAAAGTTCCTTTTTTTCGATAGTACAGCGCTGTCCTCCTCGATTCTCATAATTTTTGACCATGAACTTTTTTGAAGGTATAGGTGCTCTCCTCCTCGATTCTCATAAAAGCGTTGTGTATGGGCCATGCATTTAAAACCTGAAGGAATTGTCTCATTTTTTACCATCATAATTGAACTCTTTTTTAAATGATCTCGGAAGCTATAAGAGCTAGAGCCTTGTACTTTTAGATTTAGATTCCATTGTTTTCTATTCAGCGCAAGTTTGTTATGCGTATGTGCCACGCCCACTCCAACGCCCACACTCGCTATAAGATTTTGTTATGCGTACGTGCCACGCCCACTCTAAAGCCCACATTCGCTATAGGAGCTAGACTGTTTGCGTTTTAGATTTAGTTTCCTTTGCTTTCTATTCAGCGCAAGTTTATTATGCGTGTGTGCCACGCCAACTCTACAGCGCTGTCCTCCTCGTGCGTACCTTGATCAGGGTAAAAGCGCGTGCCGATCGAACGTCTATATCTCATACTTTTCATATTAACAATAGTTAAATGCTGTGCAAATATCCCTTTTTTTCTATTTTTACATGACATTTTTGCAGTACTAAAGCTGCTGACATGAAAATATGCAAATCTTATTTATTTATGTATACGTTGCTCAGGGTAATAGTTCTTGCTAATCAGACAACTGTATACTAAAGCTGCCGTTTAATAATTAAATTGGTTACATGTAGGAAATATTTTTTTTATATATTATTAAGTTAAGTTTTTATACCCTTGCAGAGGGTATTATAATTTTGGTCAGAAGTTTGTAACGCAGTGAAGGAGACGTTTCCGACCCCATAAAGTATATATATTCTTGATCAGGATCAATAGGGGAGTCGATATAGCCATGTCCGTCTGTCCGTCTGTCCGTCTGTCCGTCTGTCCGTCTGACCGTCTGTCCGTCTGTCCGTCTGTCCGTCTGTATGTCTGTTTCAATACCGTTTGCGAGCTCAGTTTAAAAGCTAGCGCCTTGAAACTTTCACATTCGTCCTAAAACATGTGTACGCAGATCAAGTTTGAAAGCCGACCCGATCGGACGTCTATATCCTATAGCTCCCATAGGAACAATCGGATATAGCTTTCACAAAATGAAGATATTTCGCTCAGTGTAAGAGCTATTGACATGAATCTTTCCAAATCTTATTTTTTTGTGCGTACCTTGATCAGGGTAAAAGCGCGTGCCGATCGGACGTCTATATCTTATAGCTCCCATAGGAACAATAGGGTGAAATCGGTCAAAATTTTACGTTTTTCAGGATATTTCGCGCAAAATATAAGCTATTCCCATGAAACTTTCCAAATCGTATTTTTTTGTGCGTACCTTCATTAGGGTAAACCCGCGTGCCGATCGGGCGTCTATATCCTATAGCTCCCATAGGAACAATAGGGTGAAAAATTTAAAAATTTTATTTTTTTTAATTATAAAATATTTTGTTGTTTATTAATTCATGTTGCTAGTCTAGTCAAGTTTTAATTCGTAAAATCTGCAAGGGTATTAAAACTTCGGCTTGCCGAAGTTAGCTTCCGTCCTCGTTTAATTATAAAATATTTTGTTGTTTATTAATTCATGTTGCTAGTCTAGTCAAGTTTTAATTCGTAAAATCTGCAAGGGTATTAAAACTTCGGCTTGCCGAAGTTAGCTTCCGTCCTCGTTAAACTTTAGATTAACTGATCTGGCTTGTAAATGCCATCCCAAATTTGAAGTTTTTCATACTCGGGCAAATCAATTATTTTTACTTCATTACTGATATTAAGAACTCGCTGTGGATCGTCCTTCGTTGATGGTTTCCAGTCTAAGTGGCCAATTTCCGGGCAGTTTGGATTTGAGGTAGCTGCGAACGCCGTCCAAATTCCAATCATCCTTTCGATGGTGCGATATTCGGCAGATGACTTTTCTAGTTTCCAGGATCCCGAGTTACGGAATAAATAGCTGAGGTCATCGGCATGGGCCACACCAGTTTTTATGTTGTCCCCACAGAATTTAAACCGATAAAAGTTGAAGTTCGGAGAATCAAAGTCAAAGCGGTAGTAATATGTGGGTGCCTTTGAATAGGCGAGTCTTGCGTTCAAAGTGCGATTAAAGCCATGCCAAAAGATTTTGTAGGAATAAAACTAGAAAAAAGAAAATTGTAATGAAACATGTCATAAAATAAAGTTGTTATTAAATATACAAACATCCCCTTACTTATAATTTCTAAATTATATTACTCACATCAAGAATATTCATGAAGAGTTCTGAACTGGGTGGGGCATTTCCGAAGTAGGCTTTGATCAGACGCTGACCATACTCCAGATTCTCCTGCTCGCTGTTGACCTCACGGACCTCCAGAGGCACCATTCTCGCCGGATCCTGACTTAGGCTATCCAATGCCTTGAGATTGGCAGACACCGCTGGATACATGAAAAGACCCTCGAATGAAGTTCCCCCCAACATGGTGGGTAAATTGTTGGACCACGCATCCCGGGCCATTTCCACTGGTGGTTTGGGAACCACACAATCCTCTCCCACATATGACTCCACTGTGGGTCCAAAGGCAAAGATCACACCATTCCTCCTATGTTCGGGTGTTATCAGATTGTAGTTCACTAGATCTCTGGCAGGAACACCCTGAAGGTGCTCCAGCACTTTGTCGTCCACATTTTCGCCAGTGAAGCCATATTGCTGAGCCAGGCGGAAGGCAAAGTCCTCACTTGGGTTATCGGCCCAATAGTTGTGCACCGTACCCGACATGGGAATGGCCTTGTGGAACAGCCCCTTGGTCTGCTCCGTGCACATCATAAAGTGGGTGGAACAACCACCAGCACTTTCTCCGAAAACCGTAATATTATTAGAATCGCCATTGAAGTTGGAAATGTTCTGCTTGACCCACTTGAGAGCCAGCACCTGATCCTTAAGGCCGGCGTTTCCTGGAACCTTTAGGCTGGGATCTTTCAAGGAGAGAAATCCTGTAATAGCCAAAACATCCAGCGATTTTATAAGTAAGACTTCGAAAATACTTTTAACTTTCTAAAACTTTAGATACAACTTAACATTTTCTTCAGTTAACAAAACTACAGTTAAAAAATTTTAGAGAATGATGTAATTATTATTAAAAAACTGTAGGTTTCTAATGGAAACTTTTAATCAACATTTTGAAATGTGATTAGCATCTCTGATAATAAAACTAGATTTTCAGCACCTGATCCTTAAGGCCGGCGTTTCCTGGAACCTTTAGGCTGGGATCTTTCAAGGAGAGAAATCCTGTAATAGCCAAAAATCCAACGATTTTATAAGTAAGACTTCGAAAATTCTTTGAACTTTCTAAAACTTTAGATACATTTAACTTAACATTTTCTTCAGTTAACAAAACTACAGTTAAAAAATTTTAGAAAATGATGTAATTATTAATAAAAAACTGTAGGTTTCTAATGGAAACTTTCGATCAACATTTTGAAATGTGATTAGCATCTCTGATAATAAAACTAGATTTTCAGCGAAAAGATAAAGATAGATAAGACAGAAAACATTGAAGACAGGATACCGACTATCAATTTCTGCTGACTCACCCAAACAATCAACGCGATAGTTGAGCGTTACCAGGACCACATCTTTGGCCATAAAATAGTCCGGACCGTACAATTCACGGGTGGCCTCGCCAATGGTGAAGGCCCCGCCATAAATGTATACCATTACCGGCAATGGCTTGTCACTCTTCAACTGCAAAAATAAATTAGCTATCAGTTATTATAATCGATGGGGTAAACGATCAGCAGTTTTGGGATATCTTTAAGTAGGTAGGTAGGTATTTTGATTTAAGAACTGTAACCTCATACAAAGGCTATAAAAAAAGGTTTTTATAAAAAAATTAAACCTAAGAACTGGTTTTCTTTATACCAAATAGCATTTCTGGCCCTCTTTACCTTTGTTTAGTACTCTATTAATCACCAGTTTACTTACCTGCTTGGAATATACATTCAGATACAGACAGTCCTCAGTGCCTTCGATAACTCCAGTCATTAAACTCTTCTGGGTTGGCTTCTCGGCGTACTGGGTGCAATCCAAAACTCCGCTCCATGGATCTGCTGGCACTGGGGCCTTGAATCTTAGTTCTCCCAGTGGAGGCTTTGCAAAGGGAATCTTCTCGAAGCTAAAGTAGGTGTCATCGTAGAGACTGAGGCGTTTAACGCCCTTAATTTGACCCAGGGGCAGAGTAAGTTCGCAGGTTTCCAAGCTGTATTAACCGAATTAAATAAAAACAAGTCTTTGGGTTTTCAAAACAAAAGAACTAACCTCTCCGACATCGTTTGGCAGTCGTCCGCTTCAGCGCGTATCTTCTGTCGAATGAATTGAAAGCAGTGAATTTGCAAAGTAAGAGCCGAAGCAACGCAAAAAGTTCAAGCCCCCACAGAGGGGGCTGTAAAAACATGTATAGTGATCGAGCTTTTTGTACCTGTGGTATAAATTGCGGCGACACCTTATCATCTAATCGTGTGAATTGTCAAAGGCTTTTGCACAAAGCAACAAAAAATACTTATTTTGAACCAAAAGCAAAGTTCAATAAAAAAACGGCGATAAGCTTCGTGTGAACTTTTTATGTTCCTTACTAAAAAAAATACATAAACTTGCATACATAATACAAATTACACATTGTTTTATCTGTTACTCTACGAGTATGGTATATTATGTTCGTTAGAATGAACGTTACACGTAGAATAAATCGTTTCAAACCATAAAAAGTACATATTCTTGATCAGGATCCCGCGCATGGACAATCTATCCATGTCGGTCTATCTGAGCAAGAATCTATTAACTTTAAAAGCTAAACAGTTGGATTTATAATCAAAGAAATGAAAGAAATTCCAAAAATTTTAAAGGTTTAATAAACAAAATAAAACCTTCATCAAATTTTAAATGAAAAAATACTTTAAATGCAGTTCTGAAAGTTTTACCAAGTGTATAAAAACTCATTAATACGATTTAAATCAGATGGTATTTCTTAAAATAAAGGCACGCCAGCCATTTCGAATAGCCGATCGAAGAACTTTAACTTCGGCATTTCTGGCTGAGGGATACACTTTAATTCCTCGCTGATGTTGAGGACCATTCGCTTCCCAAATCGAGCGACGGGTTTCCATTCCACCAGGGGCGTAGTGAGAGGTCCATTGGGATCCGAGGTGGCGGCGAATTGCACAAACATGGCCATCATACGCCCGATGGCGGTGAACTCAGGTCGGGATTTGTCCAATTTGAAGGTGGCCGGAATAACGAAAATGTATCCCAGCTCGTCCACGTGACCGACTCCTCGCTGCTCCTTTCCCATAAAGCGAATCCGGTAGAAGTTGAAGTCGGGCGAATCGAAATCGAAGCGGTACAGATAGGTGGGCGCCTGGCCATAGGTCAATCTGGACTGAATTAGTCGGTCCATGGCATGAACCATGGAGTGGGTGAAGAGGTCCACGAATGCTTTTGCGTGACTCGCAGTCAGCTCGTGTCCATGTGCCTGGCAGAAGTGATGGATCAGCTCCTGGCCCAACTGACGCCGCTGGCCGGGATCACAGCGACTCCTCAGAGTCCAAGGCAACGCGCACTCCGGATTGTGCTGGAACTCCTTCAGCCATTTAGGGTTCAGTTTCACGAAGTGCATGCTACTTAAGCCCTCGCCACTGTTGGCGCCCAAGATAATGGGGATGCGATTGCTCCACGACGTTCGCTGGAGGTCAACGGGCTCCGCCAGGAGAACAGCATTCGGAGTGGGGTAGTTCTCTATGTTGGGCCGGAAGGTCATGCCTTGACCCTTCTCTGCGCCGGTTAAGAAGTCCGCTGAGACGAGTAGTTGTGGATCCGCCTTCAAAAGGAACTCCAAAACCTGGCTGTCTACATTCTCCCCTTCGTAGCCCAAATGCTTGGCCAGGCGGTATTCCAGTTGGGGCAGGCGATTCACCTCCATGGAAAAACCCGCTAAAAGTATGGCCTTGTGGAAGAGTCCTTCTGTTCGGGGACTGGCCAAAAGAAGCTGAACGGTCAAGCTGCCGGAGCTGTGGCCAAAGATAGTAATTCTATCGGGATCACCATTGAAGTTGGCAGCATTAGCCTTGATCCACTGGAGAGCCAGGATTACGTCCTTGAGCCCAGCATTGCCAGGAATTTCAAGAGAAGGATCATCAAAGCTCAGAAAACCTGGAAGAGGATAAGCTTTGGTATGCTTCTAATATTTAACTGGAATTATTAAAGCTCACCTAAAGGTCCCAGACGATGCCCAATGCTTACATACATAACGTTTTCATTCATGAAATAGTCGGGACCCCATGCTTTCCTCGATGAGTCGCCGCCCTTGAAACCACCTCCGTGAATATAGACCATCACGGGAATTGGCTCGCCGATCAGCTAATAAATACAAAATGTAATCTTAATTAGTTTTCATTTGGTTATAAACACAATTGTAATACAAACATAACTTACAGTTTTCACAGAGATGTTCAAATAAAGACAATCCTCGGAGCCCTCCACCAACTTGGTATAGGAGCTCACTTGGAGGCACTTGTCCAACGGCTTGGAGCAATCTCGAACCCCATGCCATGGCTTAAGATCATGCGGCTCCTTAAAGCGCAGAGTTCCAAGGGGAGGAACTGCATATGGGATGCCATCAAAAGCGTAGAACTGATTATCATAGAGACCGTTTAGGCGAGTTCCCTGCACTTTTCCATGCGTCGTCTGCACCACCGGCGAGTTTTCATTGCTAAAGTAAATATAAAATGATTAAAAGAATGGGCGTTGGTTTTGGAATAATTCTCCTACTGGTCGTCCGACATCTCCAGTCACCAGCGGTCTCAAGCGTAAACTGGCTTCTCTCGTTAATAAGCACTGAAAACCACTATCGATAGCCGAGGCTTATCAACCTTAAAATACTCGGATCGTTTTCGTATCTCAAACAATGGTAAATTTGCTGGACATAAACAAGGTGACGGAAACCAAAATGAAAAGTGGGCTATCTTAATGGGCTTTTAAAATAATTTCGGGAATAGATAAGCTCTTACATGGATTTATTAAATCTTTTATATTTCTCTTAGATTTGGCGGGTAATTATCACTCTTTAAGTTATTATTGCCAGTATTTTTATTGATCTTGTGTCTGTACAAAATTCAAATTGTATTCGTACCATTAGTAATTTCAAATTTTTGTAACAAAGGAAATTTTATAGTTATAAAAATGTATGTGTTTATTCGGTCTTCAACATTAAAAATCAAACAATTATTTAAAGCTATTTTAAAATGCAGATAAAAATGTCAAATGCGACACAGACAGAATCATTCAAATGGCGTTCCTTTTTACTTTAAAGTTAAATCAATTGATCCGGCTTGTAGATGCCATCCCAAATTTTAAGTTTTTCGTACTCGGGCAATTTAATTATCTGAACATCATTACTGATATTAAAAACTAGCTCTGGATCATCCTTTGTTGATGGTTTCCAGTCTAAATTCCCAATTTCCGGGCAGTTCGGATTGGAGGTAGCAGCGAACGCCGTCCAAATTCCAATCATCCTTTCGATGGTGCGATATTCGGCAGATGACTTTTCTAGTTTCCAGGATCCTGAGTTACGGAATAAATAGCTGAGTTCATCCGCATGGGACACACCAGTTTTGATGTTATCCCCACAGAATTTAAGCCGATAAAAGTTGAAGTTCGGAGAATCGAAGTCAAAGCGGTAGTAATATGTGGGTGCCTTTGAGTAGGCGAGTCTTGAGTTCAAAGTGCGATTGTAGCCATGCCAATAAGTATTGTAGGAATAATACTAGAGAAAAGAATGGTAGAATTAAGAATGGACATTATGTGGGTTTAATTTTAAATTAATAATTTGATTTAAAGAGTTTACAGAAATAGATTTAAAATCTCCTCTTTTTTTCCAAATACATATTTGTTAGTTTGGCTGGCCAACTCCTAATTACTTAATATATTAAAAACCTTTTACAACCAGTTTTTTTACTCACATCTAGGATATTCATAAAGAGTTTTGAACTGGGTGGGGCATCTCCAAAGTGGGCTTTGATCAAACGCTGTCCGTACTCCAGATTCTCCTGCTCACTGTTGACCTCACGGACCTCCAGAGGCACCATTCTCGCCGGATCCTGACTTAGGCTATCCAATGCCTTGAGATTGGCAGATACCTCTGGATACATGAAGAGACCCTCGAATGAAGTTCCCCCCAACATGGTGGGAAAATTGTTGGACCACGCATCCCGGGCCATTTCCACTGGTGGTTTGGGAACCACACAATCCTCGCCCACATATGACTCCACAGTGGGTCCAAAGGTAAAGAGCATTCCGTTCCTCCTATGTTCGGGTGTTATCAGATTGTGGTTCACTAGATCTCTGGCAGGAACACCCTGAAGGTGCTCCAGCACCTTGGCGTCGATATTGTCGCCAGTGAAACCATACTGCTGAGCCAGGCGGAAAGCAAAGTCCTCTCTTGGGTTATCGGACCAATAGTTGTGCACCGTACCGGACATTAGAATGGCCTTGTGGAACAGTCCCTTGGTCTGCTCCGTGCACATCATAAAGTGGGTAGAAACACCGCCGGCGCTATTTCCAAACACCGTAATATTATTGGAATCCCCGTTGAAGTGGGAAATGTTCTCCTTGACCCACTTAAGAGCCAGGACCTGATCCTTAAGGCCGGCATTTCCAGGAACCTTCAGGCTGCGGTCCTTGAGTAAAAGAAATCCTGAAAAGAAACATGATTACTTATTGGAAACGTCTGCCTCTCTGCCCGTATAAACGCTGAGATCTCAGATACTATAAGAGCTAGAAGGTCGAAATTTTCTATTCATATTCTAGGGATTTTGAAAATATGTCTACCCAGGTAAAGTTTTAAAAGGGCACTAGTCGGACGTCTATATCTTGTAGCTTCCATAAGAACGATCGGATAAATTGCAAAATGACATGAAATTTTCCAAACCGTATTTTTCATTGACCTATATCCTAGAGCTCCCATAGGGTCAAATGGGTGCAATTGAATAAAATTTTATGTTTCTCAAGATATTTTTTTAAAATATTAATCATAGAGATTTTGTATCAAAATGTTCACACCTGACAATACAATTTGATTTCAAATTAAAATATCGTCAACATAAAGAGCATCAATTTCGGCATAAAGAGCCAGACACCGGATCCTTAACTTCCTCCTGAAAATATCCACTATCTGCTGACTTACCCAAGCAATCCACGCGATAGTTGAAAACTACCAGGACCACATCTTTGGCCATAAAATAGTCCGGACCGTATAATTCACGGGTTGCCTCGCCCACGGTAAAGGCCCCGCCATAAATGTATACCATTACCGGCAATGGCTTGTCACTCTTCAACTGCAAAGATAGATTCAAAGGTATTTTGATTCCATTTAACTTTAAAATATAAATTTAAACAAATTGAGTATGTCAAAAATAGCCATATAGATAAATAGGTACATGAGATTTGAAAAAAAATTTAAAATACACATTTTTGTTCCCCTATTAATACATTAATGTCTATACTAAGACTTAAGGCCAGGACTTCGTGATTCTGGGGCCCAGAATCTGGGCTCTCTTTAGGTATTGTGTTGGCGTTTATATACTATACTAAAATTAAGTGTACACTTGGCATATTTACCTGCTTAGAATATACATTCAAATACAGACAGTCCTCAGTGCCTTCGATAACTCCAGTCATTAAATTCCTCTGGGTTGGCTTCTCGGCGTACTGGGTGCAATCCAAAACTCCGCTCCATGGATCTGCTGGCTCTGGGGCCTTGAATCTCAGTTCGCCCAGTGGAGGCTTCGCAAAGGGAATCTTCTCGAAGCTAAAGTAGGTGTCATCGTAGAGACTGAGGCGTTTAACGCCCTTAATTTTGCCCAGGGGCAGAGTTAGTTCGCAGGTTTCCAATCTGTATTCACCGAAATCAATATAAACCATTTTTTGGGTTTCCAATTTTAAAACACTAACCTCTCCGACATATTTTTTCAGTCAACCGTTTGCAGTGCCTATCGTCTGTCGAATGAATTAACCAGAAAGGAAGCTACCTTCGGCCAGCCGAAGCTTATATACCCTTGTAGATAAAAGAATACTCACTCGGTGCAGTTCCAGGGATTCCAGATTCAGCGTTTCGATTTATTTCAATTTTGTTTTAAGTAGTCAAGAATCAAAACGCCTACTTCCTACAAAGTTACAATGAATTTTCTTATATTTGTTTGGGAGCCTTAAGATATAGTGGTCCGATCCGGCTGGCTCCGACATATGTACTACCTGCAATAGAAAGAAGACCTTCGGGAAAGGTTTATCGCGATAGCTTTAAAACTGAGAGACTAGTTCGCATAGAAACGGACAGACGGACAGACGGACAGACGGACAGACGGACATGGCTAGATAGACTCGGCTATTGGTGCTGATCAAGAATATATATACTTTATGTGGTCGGAAACGTCTCCTTCACTACGTTGCAAACATCTGACTGAAATTATAATACCCTCTACAAGGGTATAAAAACAATGGATTTGGCAAAGTCAGATAGAATAAGACGTTTGCCAGCGGATAAGTTTATTCTATGTACAATGTACATATCACTATGGACGGCAGTCCATGTAGTGACGAAGCGCACCAGGAGAGTGTGCGAAGGCGACTACTGTTATATAGCCGCAAAATTGAAAATCTGCTGTGATAGTCCGATCGTAATGAGTAATACACCAATCGAAAGGTATTGCAAAAACTTAAAGGATTGCATACCAAGACTTTAAGAAAACCAATTGGATTGGGAGAGAGAGCGGTGAAAGTGAAAAAGTGCAAATTTCGAAATTTGGAGCTGTTGGGGCCGGTGGGGATAAATGCCCCCTCGCAATGTTTTAGTTGTGTTCCTATTGAAAATACCCGTTCAAAAGTTATAGCCAAAATAAGATTTTCTTCTTCTTCCCAAAATGAAAATTTAATTCTGTTTGTCAGTTTGTCCACTTGTCCACTTGTCCACTTGTCCAAAATATGTTTTTTAAGTTCTGAAAATTTGATATGACGTTCATCACATCGATATAAAAAACTTTTGTTTTACCACTTTTGGAAAAACCCGCTAGTTTAGCGGGAAAACAGCTATAAATAGCTCAAATTCGGAAAGCCGTAACTTCTATAATACTAAAGCTACAGACTTGTGCTGCATTATTTTTAAATGCTATAAACGCCTTCTATATGCAATTTGTGTAAATGTAATAGTTAAAATGATATGAACAAAAGAAAATTTGTTTAAACTTTTTTTTTAGCTTTTTTTTTAATTTTCTCAAAAACGGCTCTAACGATTTTCCTTACAACTTTAAACTGTATAGCCCTTGAGATTCCTTAAATTTTGGTATATAACACATTACTGTAAAAAGTCACGTTTAAAAGTTATTTTTATACGAAAATAGCCACTTTTGCAAGCTCGAACAATTAAGGCTCCCTGAGTATTGAATTTTGTGTGAGGGTATCCGAACTGTATTTTAGGGTCATGGAATCGGTAAATTTGCACTTAAGAGTTCCATATAGGAATCTTTTGTTCTACGACTTTTGGAAAAAGCCGCTACTTTAGCGGGAAAAAGCTAAAAATAGCTACATTTCGTTAGTTTGTAAGTTCTACACTACTAAAGGTACAGACATGTGCTATACCTCGTTTAAAAGGTATTTTGAAATACTTCAACGCCTTTTTAACTTAATTTGTTAAAATACAATAGTTTAAAAATTATGATTGACCAATTTAAATTTAAATGTATATATTAGCTCCTATGAGAGCAAATGTAAACAAACAAAAACTTCTGATATCAAGTAAAAACACCTCTTAACGAGGTAAAAAACTAGTGACGACCGCACCTTCAACATACAAAAGTTCTGATATCAACATTTGTGACGAAAAATTATTACACTCGTCATTAAATAGACTTTCTAATATTTACTCATTCGGCACGCTGCAATAGAAAATGCCTGTGAAGGGAAAAAGGCTGGAATAGTTTGCTAGGGCGGGCAATCCAAAACTCCGCTCCATGGATCTGCTGGCTCTGGGGCCTTGAATCTCAGTTCGCCCAGTGGAGGCTTCGCAAAGGGAATCTTCTCGAAGCTAAAGTAGGTGTCATCGTAGAGACTGAGGCGTTTAACGCCCTTAATTTTGCCCAGGGGCAGAGTTAGTTCGCAGGTTTCCAATCTGTATTCACCGAAATCATTATAAACCATTTTTTGGGTTTCCAATTTTAAAACACTAACCTCTCCGACATAGTTTTTCAGTCGACCGTTTGCAGTGCCTATCGTCTGTCGAATGAATTAAAAACAACGGATTTGGTAAAGTCAGATAAAATAAGACGTTTGCCAGCGGATAAGTTTATTCTATGTACAATGTACATAGATGAATAGTGTCCGAGTTTGAGAGTTCACCCAAAATTCTTGTAAATCATGTGTTTGCTGACAACCAAAAAGGAAACAAACCAATTGCAGGAAAATAGGATTACAAATTGTTTAATTAACAGTTACGTACGCCCTCTCCATAATATTTTTGAAGAAGAAAGATTAGCACATATTACAACAAAGAATCTGTGGCGGAACGGGGGCACAATGGCTAGGTTACTCTGACCGCTAAGTATAATCAGAGATTAATAGAATTTGGCGATTTACGTGAAGAAACCAAAACATTCGGCCGTTGGCCGGGATCACAGTGACATTGTTGGGCTTTAATTAAATATTTAATTTAACCTATGGGAGTACAAGGAAATGTGATTTTCAAAAGTATTTTCCACTAATAAAGTTGTTCTGGAATATCACAGCGGATTTTACTTCGCTTCGTCACTACTATAGTAGCATAAAACGGGGTTTTATATTAAGCACACTTTATTTATTCGACCGTTCTCTTTTAGTTCTTATTCGCAATTGCCCGATTTTTCAAAGCGTCGGTTTTAACTTTAGATAACGCGAAGTTGGCTGCGATCAGCACTGATATTTAACATTTTGCAGAGTTGCCAGATTGGCAACTATCTAATAGCTGATTATTTTAAATACCAACGACTATTAAACATCTAACCGTTACTTTCGAATACTACTTATACATATTTACATAATGGTGTTATACACTCTAAAACATATCCATAACCGTGTATACTCGTACATACTAATGATATAGTCAGTGACTTATCCTACTACACTACGTGCACTGGTTGATTTCTGAAATGGAATATTTCCCATTATATATTTTAAATTATTTATTTAAAAATGCGTCATAACTCTTTGGAAAACCCTCTAACTAAGCAGCAAATAATTAAAATTAAAAATTTTCCAAAAATTATATTTTAAAACACTGCGAATTTCGCTACAAGAATTTCATATACTTTTGACTAATCCGATGATTGACAGACACTTTCCCAGACCCTTAGCTTCTGCAACTCAGGCAGCTCTATAAGCCTAATGTTCTCTGAGATGTTGAGGCACTCCAATACGGAGTTGCTGCTTAGGGGTTTCCATTCCTTGGCCCGAGGAAGCTGATCCTTGATATGCTTGCAGTTGGGATTCGAGGTCCTTGCGAAGCTCGTCACCATGTCAATCATACGCTCGATGGTCACGAACTCGGGAGTGTGCTTGTCCAGCTTCCAGGAGAAGTCACCGTACCACAGATAGGAGTGATCGTCGACGTGGGCCACGCCCCGCAACTTGTCGCCGCAATACTTCAATCGCTGGTGATTGAACGTGGGCGAGTCGAAGTCGAAGCGGTACAAATATGTAGGCGCCCTGGAGCTGCTAAGGCGGGACTTCAGCGTTTTCAGGATGGGATGCCAGAAGACCTTGTAGCTGGCGTACTGAAGAAAATTATTAAACAGAAAAATAAACCAATCAAAAAATATATTTTTAAAGTGGAACACATAATCTAAATTAAAAAGAAAACAAGGGACTCTGTGATTATCTTCTACACCCAGAAAAAAAAGACCGAAAAAATCTAAGACCGAATTTCTTACATTACTACCGTTTTGTTCTTTTATTTTTTTTAAGACCATATTCTTAAATTGATACCAAAGGGTATTGATTTAAGACCAGTAAATTTAGATTTAAGTTGAACTTATGCACGCGCGCGAAGCACGGTGCGATGGCCCAGTTGGTAAGGCGTCTGCCTCTGATGCGAGAGGACCCCGGTTCAAAAACCGGATAAGTCAAAGTAAGTAAAAAGTTTTTCAAATGTATTTCAATTAATATTTCCTTAATAACTTTAAGAACAAAAATGTATTTAAAAAGTTAAGTTGTTAATTTACTAATTAAAAAAAAAAAAAAGTTGTGTTGTGAGCGGGAATTGAACCTCGTACCCCCTTCCATGGCAGAATGCTTACAGGAGCATTCAAAGAAGTTTATTTTTGTACTAAAAATAAATTTAAATTTAAGTACATTTTGTTCTTAGAGTAAGAACAGCGGTCTTAAAAATCCGTTCTTAAAATAATACCATAAATTCTTATAATGATACCAAACGGTATAAAGCTATTTTTGAGACTCAAACAGACACGTTTTCAGACACAATCAGAACAATTTTTTCCCTGAGTGTAGAAATTATTAAAACATAGTATACATTCATACAAATCACATGGTATTTAAATAGTAGGAAATATAAAAATAGATATCAAAAATCATTATCAATATTTTAATGCAAGTGGATAAGTTACAAATGTAATAAAACGTCGGTTTATAAAGATAAACTTCAAATAAGGGACGTAGAATGAATACTACTTTAATAAATAAATATCTTTACCCCATCTCACCTCGCAATAAGCCTTTAAGGATTCCGGCGACATGGACGAGGGGTCGCTTCCGCCGAAGTGGGTCTCCTGCAGTCGCTGGCCCAGATGTCGAGCCAGTGCATGGGGCAGATTCCGCTTCACATCCAGTGGCAGCATGTGCTCCGGCTCCTTCTTCAGGCTGGTCAGCAGGTACGGGGCCATTTGCACACGGGCGTACATCAGCAGTCCCTCGAAGGAAGTGCCGCTCATCAGCACCGGAATCCTGTTTCCCCAGGCCTTGTCCAGCAGATCCTGCGGATGCTTGGGCAGCACACAGTGCTCCGTATTATAGGGCTCCACCATGGGCCCAAACTGGAAGACGCAGTCGTCCAGGTGCTCCGCTTCGCTGAGTAGGTATGGTCGAACGAGTTTCTCCCCCGGTAAACTCTGTAGGTAGTTTAAAACCATGGCATCGGTCACATGCTCGGCACTATCCATTCCCAAATTGGCAGCCAGCCGGTGGGGCAGATTCTTGATGGGACAGAGGGCCCAGGAGCAGAGCACATTGCCCGACTGCATGATGGCCTTTTGGAACAGACCCTCTGCCTTGGGATTCAGCATTAAATAATGGACCGAGGCTGCTCCAGCACTTTCCCCGAAGGCGGTCACGTTATTGGGATCCCCATTGAAGTTCGCCGCGTTCTTTTTGATCCATTGCAACGCCAGGAGCTGATCCTTGAGGCCAGCATTTCCGGGCACTCCGACAGCGGGATCGTTTAGGCTCAGGAATCCCAGGGGACCCACGCGATAGGAAACCGTCACCACCACCACATCGCGCATCATAAAATAATCTGGACTATGCAGTTCCTTGGTGGGATCGCCTTTCTCAAAACCACCGCCAAAGAAATAGACAATCAGCGGCAGTGGACTTGCCGAGTTAAGCTATAAACGGAAAATTCATTAATTAGGAGAAATAATTTATAAAAATACGTTTTTGACCGATGATTACGTTCTTTGGTCAAAGACGACCTAATGGCAATGTAGTCTCAAATTTATTAGGTATACCTACATTTGTATGTAAGAATATGTTTATTTAATACGCATAAATTAATAATCACCTTAAAGTTAGTATACTCTTCCTATAGTCGAGCTTCAAAAACTGTTACTACAAAACTTCACCAAAATTAAATATTACTTAATAAAATAATACACCCCTGTCCCGAAGGAACTTTTCCGCTTTTCCTGTTTCCTAAAATAAACAATTTTTTCACAATTTTAAAATATTTTTTTTCCTTTAAATAAATAACAGTAATTTTTTAAGTGTATTATTTAGTGTTTTTTACCATCTACAGAGTTTAAAAACTTTAAAATATTAAGTTAAGAATAAGATCTAAAAAACATTGGGGGCCTGGCCACTGGTTTTTCGCGGTACCTATTTTTTGTTGGGTGCACAGAGTTTTTCTCTGTCCATGGAGGTTCTTGCTATAAAAGTTAGTTATCATTAAAAACATAAAGTCCGCTGCTCAGTTAATTCTTATCTGAACAAATCTTCTATAGCTGGGTATAGCTTTAAAACTGATATACAACTTTGCACTACGACAAGCACAGTAACATGACTCAGCTCATGACTATAATCGTATATATATGGGTATACTTATCTAAATAAATAAAATTTCCATTACTTGGTCCCCATTCGGTGGGAAAATTGAGTATACATACAGTTGCTTTCAATAAAAACCCGTAAATTAGTCACTTCTTTTAAGTTACAAATGTCTTCTAACTCAATTTACGGGCTTCATACTCATTTGTTGTCGTGTTATAACATTAGAAATAGCTTTCAACTCAACTATGTAATCCCTATTGCCACTGAAACTTTACTGGACTTAAAGAGTACTTAGAGAGACGATAGTGATACCTCCTTAGCGTAGACATTCAGGTGCAGGCAATCCTCGACGCCCTCCAGCTGCTTTGTGTAGTGGTTGAACTGTAGAGGTTTTTGGCCTTTTTCCGTACAATCCAGTGGTTCAGTCCAGGGCTCCACGGGCAGCGGTGCCATAAACCGGAGCGGACCCACTGGTGGCTTCGCATACGGAATCCGCTCGAAACTGACGTACTCGTCGCCGTAAACACCTGTGCACAGTTTTCCGCGCACCGGTCCGCTGCTCGTATTTACCTGCAAGCTGCGATATCCAATAGAATTAAATTCACGACGGAGTATTCTCGGATTTGGCGACCTCACCTCTCCATATTCGACGGTCAAATGCTAGTTCCACACTCGGCACTATTTATCTAGCGATGGAAAAGCATTTATGGCCCTTTTTATCGCGCAAAAACAAAAAATAAAAACCACAAATATTCGGAGACAGCTGATTTTCAGATTGCTTTGGTAGCTTTTCTGTGCCTCTGTGTGCGCTCAATGTTAAGGCTAATAGTTGTTGTTAGGGGGCTATTGTTATTATTATTATCAGCTGACTTTTGAGATTACAGAAAGAGAGAATTCTCAGTGATCTCCACAAAAAAGCTCTTTACTTAACAGAAATGATTTGTTTACAGTCACAGTCGCAGTCCATATCAATGCGTACAATAAATTATTATGTTGTTATAGATGCATCTCTTAGATATCCCAGTAGTAAAGTACTGAATAAAAAAAGTTTCTTTTATTCAGGGTTTAATATTGTTTCCAATATTTACTTTTACTTAGTAGTTTAATGTTTAAATATTTGATTAATTTGACTTACTTTAAGTTGGTACATTTACTGATTTTTATTAAAATACTACTATTCAGATATTTTGTTAACATTTGGTACGAAGAACAAAGCCACTGTGCTTTTGATGTATTTTCTAAATAAAGAAAAGCTTTTTAATGTTGTGAGATAAGAGCAATATTGGACGCGAATCTATTTTTATAAATCATTTCGCAAATTGCTATGGCAAAAAAGGGGTTTGCGGGTGAAGGATGTATGAAAACGCAGAAGCAGAGGAACAATCTCGGACTTTATGTTGCGGGTCACGCGTCTAGCCTCCATTATAAAACAAGAGAGATCGCTATAGTCGGGTTTGTGCTCCGACTATTTAATTCCCGTCACTCGGCTAAAGGAGTGCGAGGCAGATGGATATATAAACTTTTTTTGATTTCGCATAACTTTGGGCGTAAGAGGGGGCGTGGCGCTCGGCTGAAATAAACTTCCGCTGCGTAGGAAGCCCAAGAATATGTGTGGAAAATCTCAACCTTCTAGTTTCCGAGATCTCAGAGTTCATACGGACAGACAGACAGACAGACACACAGACAGACGGACGGACAGACAGACGGACATGGCTAGATCGAATCGGCTAGTGACCCTGATAAAAAATATATATACTTTATAGGGTCGGAAACGCTTCCTTCTAGCTGTTACATACTTTTGCACGAATACAATATACCCTTTTACTCTACGAGTAACGGGTATGAATACTTACTATAAATATCCTTTTATGGGAAGTCTAACTTAAATCTCTCTAGAAATATAATTATAATATTTGGAAGAGGAATAGGATTTATATATTTGCATCTTCTTATTTTTAAATTTAATTATTTAAAAAGTAGAGAATTTTTTATCAAACTCAACTTATTTAAAAAGTTTTGTTTAAAATATATACCTATGTAAGTTTTGAAATTTTAAAATAATAATATAAAATAAACGAAGTTTTTGAAGAATAATATTCATAGACACTATATATACAAATATTTTAAAAAAGGTACTTTAATTTATGCGAATGGAATTTTGACAATTTTTTAATATTCTGTTTCGTTTTAAAATTTTGTTTTGTTTGATGTTAGGCGTAATTTGTTGACCGGAGGTGTTCGACACTAAAATTGATAGTACTTGGGAAAACTCGTAGAAATGCATTGGGGTAGTACATTTAAGAGCTCTGTCGGCATTGCTCCTTATTTTAGTTGACGCCGGCAAGCATTTGTGTCCAGTCGCTCAGTAAACGTTGATCAACCCAATAATCCAGAAAATACATCGGAAAAAGTTCTTTCAATTTCACCACTCGAGGTTTAACAACATCAGAATACCACGAAGAAAATAAACCTAACGAAAAAATAATGGAAGTGCAAGTGGGGTGGTCCAAGTTGCTCAAAATGGGCGCTCAGTGAGTACATTAGAGTAAATACAAGGGGGTCCAAAAGTACAGGGCCAAGGTCATGATTCGAGAATCGTTACCTTCGGACCAAGCGTGCTAGCACTGCCAGCGGTTATCATCCCTAATCGCTTATCGCAAGAGACAGACAATCTCCGTAACCCCCGATTTCCCCCAATCTTTTCTACAGGTTGGTGGGCCACAAGTTCCAGCAGTACCGCCTGTCCACAGGTCACACCGTGATATTGGACACCAATTATGGACGGGTTCAAGGTCTTCAAAGAAAGACGGTCTACGATGAGGAACTGTACTTTGCCTTCGAGGGCATACCATATGCCAAGCCGCCGGTGGGTGACCTCAGATTCAGGGCTCCTCAGCCTCCGGAACCCTGGCAAGGAGTGCTCAATTGTACCACCAGTCGATCGAAGCCCCTTCAGAGGCACATGCTATCGGGGATCGTGGAAGGCAGCGAGGATTGTCTGCACCTAAATGTTTATGTGAAAACCCTGAAGTCAGAGAAACCGCTGCCCGTAATCGTGTGGATCTATGGAGGGGGATTCCAGAAGGGCGAGGCCTCCAGGGATATTTACAGTCCTGACTACTTCATGAAGGAGCCGGTGGTGTTCGTCTCCATCAACTACAGGCTGGGAGCGCTGGGTAAGTTTCAAGGCTAAAAAGTAAACAATCGAAATTATTCCAACTGATAAGTAAATATTATGAAAAACGAAATTTGTAGGATTCCTCAGCCTGAAGGATCCGAAGTTGGATGTTCCCGGAAACGCTGGCCTCAAGGACCAAGTGATGGCACTCCGCTGGATCAGCCAAAACATCGCTCACTTCAACGGCGACCCAAACAACATCACACTAATGGGTGAAAGTGCAGGATCGGCTTCCGTTCACGTAATGATGACCACGGAGCAAACACGCGGTCTCTTCCACAAGGCTATCCTGCAATCAGGATGTGCGCTGAGTGAATGGGTGGAAAGTCCAGATCACAATTGGGCCTTTCGGCTGGCTCAGAAAATGGGCTATAAGGGTGAAGAGACGGACGCCGATGTTCTGACTTTCCTGAGTAAAATTTCGGGCCGTAAAATAGCGAACAGCGACCAGGATGTGATCACGACAGACGAGATTCGAAGCTTCCTCCTCTTTGCCTTTGGCCCAGTGGTGGAGCCCTATGAAAGTGATCACTGTGTGGTGCCCAAGAGGCATAAGGAACTCCTATCCGAGGCCTGGGGCAATGACTTACCCATCATCTTGGGAGGCAACTCTTTCGAGGGCTTGTTCGCCTACCAGCTGCTTAGAGGTGATCCTTGGGTCATGAAGAACTTCCACAACATTCTGCCAAGGGATGTGAGCGAGGCCAGCAATCAGGACGAGCAGGATCTACTGGTTCGACGTATCAAGAAACACTACCTTAACAATGAGGTGCAGGAATCGATGGATATATTTCAGGCACTGAATATATTCTCTCATCGCCAGGTGTGGCACGATGTGCATCGCTTTGTTCGAGCTCGTCAGACCTACGCCCCCACCACGCCCACCTATCTATACCGTTTCGATTTCGACTCCCCGCACTTTAATCAATTCCGGCGATTGGTTTGCGGCGATCGTATTCGCGGAGTCGCCCATGGCGATGACTTATCATATCTCTTCTACAATGTAATAGCCACAAAGCAGAAGAAATCTTCCATGGAGTACCAAACCATAAAGCGGATGGTGGGCATGTGGACATCGTTTGCCTCCAGTGGGAATCCGAACTGTCCGGAACTGGGAACTGCCAAATGGGATCCCATCCGGGTGATGGAAAACGACGTAGAGCAATGTTTCAATATCAGCCATGAGCTAGAAATGCGCGAGCTGCCAGAGGCCGATTCACTGGCCGTTTGGGACACCTTCTATTTCAAGGAGAATCTCTTTTAGTCCAGAACTCTGAATATTTTTTAACTGCCATTATTATTTCTATGAATAATTTTTTTTTTTCGTCTAGCTATTTACGTTTTAAAAATTAAATGCCTTTTATAAATATTCTGTAAATTGTTCTAATTGTAAATGGTAATTTCTCTAATTTTGTAAATAAAATTTGTATGCATTCTTCAAATCTTTAAAAAAAATCCTAAAATTATTTTAAATTTGGGTTTCCGAAAGATAAAGAGTGTATCTTTTAAAAAACAAACCATAAATCTGGTTGCCTGTGATACATCCGGAGAGTTGGCTAATTTCATTTTTTGTTTCATTTCATTTTTTGAACTTCGAGGTCCTTGTGCTAAGAATCCTTGCGTCGGGGAACTTTTTGGGAATTTGTAACGAATTCAACAATATAGCATTAATCGAGGTAAATTTAAAGAGCATTAATTTTGTTGCACAGTGTTATTATTGGCTTAACCGTTGCTGTATATGATTGTGAACAAGATTATTGGGTGAATTCAAGCGCTGCCGGCGTCTCTCCTGATTTAAGGTGCTACACCGAAATATTTGCGATCAGTCTCACGGGAAACTTCGATCGGTCCAATATTTGCGCGAACGCCTTTAAAATTGTGAATATCATAGAACATCATTAGAAACACAGGAGCCCTGGAAAAAACATAAACCTACAAAATTATGGAAGTGCAAGTAGGATGGCCAAAGTTGGTCAAGATGGGCGCCCAGTAAGTACATTTATATGGGGCCAAGGTCATGATTCGGGAAGTGATACCTTCGGACCTGGCGCGACCCACTACCAGCGGTTATCTTTCCTAATCGCTTATCGCAATCTGTCTGGCTCAGTAACCCCAGATTTCACCCAATCTCTTCTACAGGTTGGTGGGCCACAAATTTCAACAGTTCCGCCTGTCCACAGGTCACACCGTGGTATTGGACACCAAATACGGACAGGTTCGCGGACTACAAAGGAAGACGGTGTATGATAAGGAACTGTACTTCGCATTCGAGGGCATACCATATGCCAAACCGCCGGTGGGTGACCTCAGATTCAGGGCTCCTCAGCCTCCGGAACCCTGGCAAGGAGTGCTCAATTGTACAACCAGTCGATCGAAGCCCCTGCAGAGGAACATGCTTTTGGGGATCGTGGAAGGCAGCGAGGATTGTCTGCACTTAAATGTTTATGTGAAAACCCTGAAGTCAGAGAAACCGCTACCTGTGATCGTGTGGATCTATGGAGGGGGTTCCAGAAGGGCGAAGCCTCCAGGGATATTTACAGCCCTGATTACTTCATGAAGCAGCCGGTGGTGTTAGTCGCCATTAACTACAGGTTGGCAGCACTGGGTAAGTTTTCAGTTGCTAATTAAAATTTAAATGAATAAAAAAAAATTTATTAGGAAACATATTTAGTCGAGAAATAGTTCAATTGCATTTTTATTAGCGTATTAATCGCTTACAATTACACATTCACATTTAGCTGTAGAAGGAAGCGCATTTAATGACAAATACGTATTTTCCAACTGATACGTATAATCTTTATCAACATTAGGGGAATTCTCATTCATTGAAAAATTAGTATAATAGAGCAGAGGTCTGTATCTTGGTACACCTTTTGTTTTTATACTGCCATTTCGACATTCGCTTATGAAACTTAACGCATTAGGTAAATATTGTATTCAGATTTTCATCTAAACCTACTTATGCACTTAGCCGCTCAAAAAGTTAATAAGGGCGTAGCGCAGGTATGCAATAGCAATAGCTTTTTTGAAGTCCACAATGGCCTTAAATCTCTTTTTTAAGCAATGTAGTACATGTTTCCTTAAATTTTAGAATTTGGAAAGCATAGTGGTACTAAAAACGACAACAAAAATATAAATAACAGGTAGTTAAAACAAAATGGTATTACTATTTTTATACCCTTGCAGAGGGTATTATGATTTCAGTCACAAGTTTGCAACGCAGTGAAGGAGACGTTTCCGACCCCATAAAGTATATATATTCTTGATCAGCATCACAAGACGAGTCGATCTAGCCATGTCCGTCTGTCCGTCTGTCTGTTTCTACGCAAACTAGTCTCTCAGTTTTTGAGCTATCGGGACAAAACTTTCGCAAAAGTCTTCTTTCTATTGCAGGTAGTATATATGTCGGAGCCGACCGGATCGGACAACTATATCTTATAGCTCCCATAGGAACAATCGGAAAAAAAAACTTTAAACAAGAAAGGAAGCTAGCTTCGGCAAACCGAAGCTTATATACCCTTGCAGATCTTTCTATTAATTTACAAATCGTAAAAATGTTAAATTTCTTATTATTTCACATTAATTTTCCGATCGTTTCTATCACAGCTATATGATATAGTAGTTCGATTTTTTAAAAATTAAAATCGAAATTCGGAAATATTTCAAAATAGTCATATCCCAGAGAAGAAGGGAATGTAATAAAAACCAACAAAGATATAATTTTTTCCCATTAATTTCCATTTAATTTTTCGACCGTTCCTATGGCAGCTATATGATATAGTGATCCGATTTAAAAAACAAAAAAACCGAAATTTAGAAATATATAGAAAAATATATTCCCAAGAGTATAAGGTAAAATTTAAAAAAACACCGGAGCTAGAATTTTTTCACGTTTTTTTTTTTTGATCCTTCCTATGGGAGCTATAAGGTATAGTTGTCCGATCCGGTTGGTTCCGACATATATACTACCTGCAATAGAAATACGAGTTCTACGAAAGTTTCATCCCGATAGCTTTAAAACTGAGAGACTAGTTTGCGTAGAAACGGACGGACAGACGGACAGACGGACGGACATACGGACAGACGGACGGACAGACGGACAGACGGACAGACGGACATGGCTAGATCGACTCGTCTTGTGATGCTGATCAAGAATATATATACTTTATGGGGTCGGAAATGTCTCCTTCACTGCGTTGCAAACTTCTGACTGAAATCATAATACCCTCTGCAAGGGTATAAAAATTCTAGCTTCGGTGTTTTTGAAATATTACCTTCTACTTTTGGGGATGTTATTTTTTAAATATTTCTGAATTTCGAATTAATTATTTAAAAAATCGGACTACTATATCATATAGCTGCCATAGGAACGATCGGAAAATTAATGGAAAAGTAATAGGAAATAAATTCTAGCTTCTTTGGTTTTTATTGTATTATCTTCTACTCTAAGATATGACTCTTTTTAAATATTTCCGAATTTCAATTTTAACTAAATCAAAATCGGACGACTATATCATATAGCTGCCATAGAAACGATCGGAAAATTAATGGAAAAGTAATAGGAAATAAATTCTAGCTTTTTTGGTTTTTATTGTATTATCTTCTACTCTTGGATATGACTCTTTTTAAATATTTCCGAATTTCAATTTTAATTTAATCAAAATCGGACGACTATATCATATAGCTGCCATAGGAACGATCGGAATATTAATGAGAAATATTAGAAAATTGAACATTTTTGCGATTTGTTAATTAATAGGAATGATCTGCAAGGGTATATAAGCTTCGGCTGGCCGAAGCTAGCTTCCTTTCTTGTTAAGCTTAAGGAAACTTAATTTATGTTACAATTTTGTTTACCTCTTAAATGTTTGTCCCCTATTTAGGTTTTCTTAGCCTCAAGGATCCCAAGCTGGATGTTCCCGGAAATGCGGGCCTAAAGGACCAAGTGATGGCACTCCGATGGATCAGCCAAAACATCGCCCACTTCAACGGCGACCCCAACAATATTACTTTGATGGGAGAAAGTGCAGGATCGGCTTCCGTTCACGTAATGATGACCACGGAGCAAACACGTGGTCTCTTCCACAAGGCTATCCTGCAATCGGGATGTGCGCTGAGTGAATGGGTGGAAAGTCCGGATCACAATTGGGCCTTTCGGCTGGCTCAGAACTTGGGCTATAGGGGCACGGATAAGGAGGCGGATGTATTACGATTTCTCATCAAAACTTCCGCTCGTCAGATAGCGGCCGTTGACCAGGACGTCATCACCAAGGATGAAATTCGGAACTTCCTGCTTTTCGCCTTTGGACCGGTGGTGGAACCCTATGAGACCGATCACTGTGTGGTGCCCAGGAGGCATAAGGAGCTGTTATCCGAGGCCTGGGGCAACGATATACCAGTTATTATGGGCGGAAATTCCTTTGAGGGACTGTTTTCTTACCAAGTACTGAAAAATGATCCTTGGGGCCTGAAAAATTTTCACAACATCCTGCCACGGGAGGTGAGAGAAGCCAGTTGTCTGGAGGAGCAGGATCTACTGGTTCGACGTCTGAAAAAGCTGTACTTCAACAACGAGATGCAGGAATCGATGGAGATGTTTCAGGCCTTAAATATATTTTCCCATCGCCAAATTTGGCACGACATGCATCGCTTGGTTCTCGCCCGTCAGAAGTACGCTCCCGAATCGCCCACCTATCTGTACCGTTTCGATTTCGACTCCCCGCACTTTAACCAATTCCGGCGACTGGTTTGCGGCGATCATATACGCGGAGTGGCCCATGCCGATGAACTATCGTATCTCTTCTACAACATCATAGCCTCGAAGCAGGAGAAAACGTCGATGGAGTACCAGACCATAGAGCGGATGGTGGGCATGTGGACATCGTTTGCCTCGAGTGGGAATCCTAACTGTCCGGAACTGGGAACTGCAAAGTGGGAGCCCGTAATTCTGAAAGAAACCGGTGTAGAAAAGTGCTTTAACATAAGCAATGAAGTGGATATGAGAGAATTGCCGGAGGCGAAGTCCCTGGCAGTGTGGGATTCTTTCTATCCAAAAGATGGCCTCTTCTAATCCTTATACCAAATCTCTGTAAACATGTGTGTATTGTATACAGTGCAATTATATTTATGTAGATTTTTACGTTGTTAGTATCCTTTTTATTATTTTAAAAACATCAAAAAAATACAAACTTTCTTTGAATAAAATTTTTTATACCCTTGTAGAGGGTATTATAATTTCAGTCAGATGTTTGCAACGCAGTGAAGGAGACGTTTCCGACCACATAAAGTATATATATTCTTGATCAGGACCAATAGCCGAGTCTATCTAGCCATGTCCGTCTGTCCGTCTGTCTGTCTGTCCGTCTGTCCGTCTGTCCGTTTCTATGCGATCTAGTCTCTCAGTTTTAAAGCTATCGCGATGAAACTTTCCCGAAAGTCTTCTTTCTATTGCAGGTAGTACATTTGTCGGAGCGAGCCGGATCGGACCACTATATCTTAAGGCTCCCATAGGAATATTCATAAAAATATAAGAAAATTCATTGTAACTTTGTAGGAAGTAGGCGTTTTGATTCTTTACTACTTATGTATAAACAAAATTAAAATAGAAACGCTGAATCTGGAATCCCTGGAACTTTACCGAGTGAGCATTACTTTATCTGCAAGGGTATATAAGCTTCGGCTGGCCGAAGTTAGCTTCCTTTCTTGTTTTAGTTTAGGTTCCAATTGTTTGTTGTTCAACTTAAACTTGATGCAAGCCTTTTTATATTGTGCACAATCAAGCCAAATTTTGCTACCTCTACGACTCGTATAAAATACAAATGAATTTACTTTTAAATTTTGTGTTATAGATAACGGTGAACATTGCTTGTAGGTCGTGAATATTTTTAATTACCAAATATATAAATAGAAATTAGAGATTAGGACATTATTTGTAGAGTCTTCCAAAATACATTTTATAAATGAAATCCAAATTCTCAAAGCTTATCTGTACCGGAAAAATAAATTTAATTCTATAAGTTGTTATTTTGAAAACTTTTTAATTACCCAATATAAAAGAAAATGTATTGATATTTGTTTATATGGGAAAATAATACCATTTATCATTTAGATGTGTTATTGATGTCTCACACATACTTTTATATAATATTCGTAAGTCCAAAAACGAAACTAATTTTTTTATGTTAAAAATTAATTTTTATTAATTTTCCTGAATTTGCTTATGTAGTTACCAGTGCGCACTTTATCTCTCATTGTAGACAGAAAACATCATCGAGTCACTGCGGGGTCAAGTTTGAGGTGACTAGATGGAAAGTTACCTGGTAAAGGCGAATTGTTTTCGCGATGTGATTAATGCGAGCACCCAAACCAGTTTTATTAAGACAGTAAGAGCTTCATTAAATATATGAAAAACTTATGTCTCCCATAAAACTGAATTAATTTAATAAGTAATTTTTTTAAATTCCTAATTATATTTTAAATTTAAATATATTATTTTTGAAATAGTTTGTGTTTTAATAAAGAACTACCAATTATTACTATTTCTATTGCTATCAATTATTATCATTTCCGCCTTGAAAAATATTTCTTCATTAATTTTTCCTGGATTTCAGCTACCAAACATTTTTTGGAATTATTGCTTTAAATCAAATGAATTTCTAAAATCCTAAATGGTTCCAGTTTTATTTACAAAATATACAAAGTTCCACCTATTTAGTACAAGTCGCGTTTATCGTAAAGTCTATCCCAAATCCGATTCTGCCTTGACTCTGGCAGCACAATGAACTCCAGTTGCTTGCCGATGTTGAGACACATCTGCGGGCCTCCTTCATCCAGAGCTTCCCATGTGGTCGGACTGATCTGTGAACAATTGGGATTATCGTTTCGGGCAAATGCCACCCACATGCCCACCAATCTCTGTATGGTTTGGTACTCCATGGAGGATTTCTCCAGTTTGTTGGCCAAAATGTGGTAGAAGAGGTAGGAAACGTCATCGGCATGACTGACGCCGCGAACGTGCTTGCCGCACATCGTCTGCCGGAAGTGATTGAAATGGGGCGAATCTACATCGAAGCGGTACAGAAAGGTGGGTGTTGTGGGGGCGTGGCTGAGGCGAGCCAGCACAGTGCGGTGGATGCCATGCCAGAAGTGTTTTACCGACAGAATTTGCAGGCACTCATTGAACTCCATGCGACCGCGAGTTGCGTCCTCGAAATTATCCACCTTAAACTGACGCAGCAGATCCTTGAGCTGGGATTGGGAACTCTTCTCCCTGATCTCTCGCGGAATCAACGCCTCAAAGGCACTCAGCATGTGCTCCTCATCGTGCAGGGTGGCCTGGTAGGAGAATAGGCCCTCAAAGGAGTTTCCTCCCAGGATCAATGGCAGGTCATTGCCCCAAGCCGCAGGCAGCATCTCCCTGTAAGAACGGGGTAGAATGCAATCCCTGGTTATATACGGTTCCACCACGGGCGTAAAGGGAAACAGAACGTAATCCCGCCGTTCTTCCAGGGAGACGAGGGAAACGGTGTGGGCGGCCATTTCGGAGGCGGAAGCCTTTTGGAGGAATCGGAACACCTCCTTCTCGTTCTCACTTCCCGAGTAGCCCAACTGGCAGGCCAGGCGGTACGCCCACCGGCCACTCGGCTCGTTGGCCCACTCGCAGAACATCGACCCCGACTGCATTATGGCCTTGTGAAATAATCCCCGGGTCTGCTCCGTGGTCATCATCATGTGAACGGAGGCTGCTCCCGCACTCTCACCCATCAGTGTTATGTTCTGGGAGTCCCCGTTGAATTGGGCTATGTTCTGACTGATCCAGCGGAGGGCCATCACTTGATCCTTGAGGCCAGCATTCCCGGGCACATCCAGGTCACGATCCGAGAGGCTGAGGAAACCTGAAATAATTCAAGTAAATAAATAAATGTTTAATACGGAAAAATGATACACGTTTCCAGAAAAGTATATAAATAAGTATAATTAATTTATGCTTTAAGTAGTTTAAAAAAACTAAAAAATGACAAATAATTACAATTACAAGTGAAAACCTTTAACAATAAATATTTTAACGTTATTTGTAGTGTATTACTTTGTAAATAAATTGATTTAGAATTAGCAATATATTCATAGAAATGTTTTCTGGTTTGTTACAGTTACATCGCATGTGACTACATAGGCATTATTTTAATTGATCGTTAACGTAATATTAATAACAGGTGAGTGTTGTTCTCTATCCAATTTAATGGCAGCTAAAACGACAGTAATAGTAATGCTAATGATTTTATGACTATAGAAGTGGCAGTAGTGGGCAATTAAACTACACAGTCTGTGAATTATTTCCGATTGAAATTGAGTTTGCATGGCGTGGAGAATGCAACTTGTAATTTGTATGGTACAGACTTCCCTGCTGGTGGATGGGGTCCAAGTTCAGGGTGGTCAATGATGATAAAGAAAGTAAACATTTGGTAATAAGAATAGTTAATATCATAAATCACAATTTTATTTTTTAATTTTAACTTCATGCCTAAGTCACTTAGCTCAAAATTAGCTTTCAACTATTCCTCAATCTGAGTTACCTAAATTTATATTTCTCACGTGTCATATCACGCGATCCACACTTTAAATGGTTATTTATAGCACTCATTTTAAAACATTTGTCAGCTAGAAATAAGCTCCATCCACTTACCCAATGCACCCACTCGGTAATTAAATGTGACAACCACCACGTCTTGCTGCATAAAGTAGTCTGGACTGTAGAAATCTCGACCAGCTTCGCCGATCGTGAATCCGCCGCCATATATCCACACGATCACGGGCAGCGGCTTATCCGTCTTTAGACGTTTGGAATACACGTTCAAGTACAGGCAATCCTCGCTGCCTTCGACAATGCTGAGAACGAAGTGCTTCTGCATGGGCTTGGCCCTCGGATAGGTGCAATCCCTGATTCCCAACCAGGGGCGCGGTGGCTGGGGGGCTCGAAACCGCAATTCCCCCACCGGCGGCTGTGCAAAGGGGATTCCCTCGAAGGCGAAGTACAGTTCATCGTCGTAGAGCGTTCTGCGGCGGAGTCCTCGCACCTGTCCGTCCCTGGTGCAGACCACCTTCGTTTGCTTCGTGGCCAGGCGGTACTGGACGATCTTGTGGCCAATGAGCCTGTTGAAAAAGAAAATCCATTTTAAAACTCGTTTTTAAATTTAAATAATTCAAATATTTTTCTAAATTAAAATATGACATGACCGATTTCGTATTCCAATTGTTTTTATAAACTGTTAATTACAACTATTATTAAACCATTAAAAGTTTAAATAATCATAATTTTGGTTTTGGCATGCCAGGGGTTAAGGTTTTTGAGAGAGGGGGATATACTTGAGTTTAATAATAAGCTTTTCTTATCTTATCTGAGCAAGAGCGGAACAATCAATTGAGTACAGTAAAAGCTTCTTTAAAGGCTCCTATATTGACAAATTTTTTGTAAACAAACACGACGCGTTTAAAAATATTAAATAAAGTTTATTGAGTAACGAAATAATAAAAGTACACGGCTTTCAATTTAAGAAATTAATTACACAGGTATACAGCCAAAAATGTCCACGCACCATTTCTAATTTTCCATGATAATTGGGTGACCCTGAGTAAAAGTCCCATATTAACTTATGTCCCATTACCGTGCGTCCCATTACTTAGCGGTATAGCTAAGAATACAAAAAGCCGATGTTCGCCGACATTTCGAATTATGTGGTCGGTAAAAATGAAGTCTGTACGGAAAAAGTTCAAAATGACAGCACTGCCTAACACTAATCTGTAGTCGAACAGTTAAATATTTGTGATTACGCCGAGGCTCAATAAACCTTATCAATACGTGATTAAAGTTTGTTTTCCCTGCAACATTAGAATTTAATTGAGTAAAATTGAAGAATGAAACAGTACGAAGGTAGTCTCTCCATAGGGCTTTTACTGTAATTGACCTACTTGGTGCCCATTTTCAGCAGATCGCCCACTCCCACTCGGATCTCCATGGCCAGCGACGCCAATTATTTTCACTACTACTATGGATGTAGTAAATTCAAGGGTCAGATTGAACGGTATAATTCGAGATGGGGAACGATAGTGATAGTAACACTTCCGCAGGCCGCGATCGACGAGGAACAACTGAACCGAGAACCGTACAATTTGATCTATCAGTTCGACTGCCAGTAAACCCACAGCAGCCTCAATTCAGTTGCGGCTATAATCACGACCGCCGCTTATCGCAATGTGAGTTGCTGTCGCTGCACCGAAACATATGGCGGAGAATATAGAAGTCGAATATCACGACTGATAAGCGGAGAGGGCCGACTACTCACTCACTACAGACAGCTGTTTCGTGTCTTCTCAGTAATTGCTTTTAAATGATTAATCTGTTTGCTCTCGCAAAGGTTATAAAGGTGGACTTTATGTCAACTGCGAGCGGGCTTAAACCTGCCAAATATCATTAACGAACGGGGTTATAGATCATGCAATTTCCACAGTAATGGTTTTTGAAAAGAGTTGCAAAAAATGGGGTAATTTTAGAGCTATTATGGTTAACATTCAAATTAAAACTGCGCGCGCAGCTAACATGAACTGCTTTTATTACTCGCTCGCTGTTAACGCATCAATAACATTCTGATGTGATTCTAGAAATATTTAGTATTTTTTTAAGAACCATTTTATGGAGAACAACAAAAATGTTTCTTTTTAAATAAAATTTGGAAAAATATTAAGGATAATTATGTAAACTTTTTCTAGTATAAAAATGGCTTTTTTAAAATCTACAAATTTCTAGAAATTTATAATTTTCTTACAGTACACTGCAGCGGTATCATTAATAGTGAGCTTGATTTCCATATATAGCCTGGTCAATCTGACAGCCGGCCTCATAACTGTGAGTACTTTGAATAGTTGCACATCCGTAAGATACATTTAACGTAGGCTTTTTCTGAGTTAAATAAAACAAGAAAGGAAGCTAGCTTCGGCCAGCCGAAGCTTATATACCCTTGCAGATCATTCCTATTAATTAACAAATCGCAAAAATGTTCAATTTTCTAATATTTCTCATTAATTTTCCGATCGTTCCTATGGCAGCTATATGATATAGTCGTCCGATTTTGATCAAATTAAAATTGAAATTCGGAAATATTTAAAAAGAGTCATATCCTAGAGTAGAAGATAATACAATAAAAACCAAAGAAGCTTGAATTTATTTCCTATTACTTTTCCATTAATTTTCTGATCGTTCCTATGGCAGCTATATGATATAGTAGTCCGATTTTTTAAATAATTAATTCGAAATTCAGAAATATTTAAAAAATAACATCCCCAAAAGTAGAAGGTAATATTTCAAAAAACACCGAAGCTAGAATTTTTTAAAGTTTTTTTTTCCGATTGTTCCTATGGGAGCTATAAGATATAGTTGTCCGATCCGGTCGGCTCCTACATATATACTACCTGCAATAGAAAGAAGACTTTTGCGAAAGTTTCGTCCCGATAGCTCAAAAACTGAGAGACTAGTTTGCGTAGAAACAGACAGACGGACAGATGGACAGACGGACAGACGGACAGACGGACAGACGGACGGACAGACGGACATGGCTAGATCGACTCGTCTTGTGATGCTGATCAAGAATATATATACTTTATGGGGTCGGAAACGTCTCCTTCACTGCGTTGCAAACTTTTGACTGAAATCATAATACCCTCTGCAAGGGTATAAAAATAATTAAGTTGTAAGCAGACTTTAACTATAGTTACATGCCTACACTGGTAAAAAAAAAACGCATAGTGAAATCAAATATTTTTTTAGTTTTTTTTTCCTACTTTTCATAGTTAAATCAAATAAATAAATCATTGATTTTAATAAAAAGCATACACTCATAGAAATTTTCCGGTAAAATCGCCCTAAAAACAAGGAAAATCGCCCTAAAACGGGGGTCAATGGCGACTAGGCAACAAAATTAGGGCAAATTGCCCTAAAAATACGGGTGAATTTGTCACACATTTAGGGCGATTTTTCGTAGATCTAGGGCGATTTTTCTATTTTCAAAGCTAATTGCCCTAAAAATAGGAAATGAGACCCTTACACTAAAGGCAGTTCCCTTTAAATCCACGGCGATTTTTCTGGACTTATAGGCGAATTGCCCTGGAAATCGGAAAAAATACCTTTAAACTAAAGACAGATTTTCATAAATCTAGGGTGTTTTTCTGGATTTTAGGGCAAATTGCCCTAGAAATATGAAAAAATATTCTGAACCTAAAGGCAGATTTTTATAAATTTAGGGCGTTTTTCTGGATTTATAGGCGAATTGCCCTAAAAAAAGCAAAGTGCTCCCCAAAATTTCCCGGCTTTTTTTCATAAATAAAAATACGATTTCATTATATTTTTTTTGTTTTTTTTATATTTTTGTTTGTTGTTATTTACACAATTTCTACTTATATACATTTACATACTTTTCTACTTATTCTTATTGCTAAAAGAATTACATCGATCTTAAAAATAATGTTTTGGCTTAATGTATTTTTTCGTCCTTAGGTTTTGTGCTTCCGCCGGAGGGAATTTTAGGTCTTTTAAGGTTTATTACAATAAGTACTGATTATCAAATTTTACTTCTAATTGAATGCATAGAAATAATACTTTTTTTTGGAATGAACAGATTGTTTCTTTAAAATAGTTACAGTTTTAAGGTTTTATAATCCTTCAAGAGTTCGGATAAAGCTTTACCTTTCTTATCAGACTCTAAATGAATTTCATAAAACATTTTTTGGATAAATGTCGTGGTTTAAAACAAAAAATATTTTGAAGCACACATCAATACTTTTCAATAAGGTTGGCATTCTATAAATAAACCTCTGATAGGTAAACTGGAAATTCACCAAGGTCAAAAAGGGCTTGTTCCCACGTTGCAGCTGAATGGTTGCAGTTTCGGCTTTCCGGATTAGCAATTTTCCGTCAATGCCTTTAGATGTGTTTGCAGTTCCCCAACAGTAGCCTTCCAAACCAAGAAACGGCTTCGCGGGTCCGCAATGGTGTGCTTCGCGTTCTTGCTCCCGCCGTCCTTTTTTGTCATTGCTGTCGCACCAACACTGAATGGATCGCAAGCCAAATTAAAGTTGATTGTATCTCTATTAAATAAAAACAGTCTATTTATTGAATGAGAAAAGAAAAAGAGAAAAAGCACATACCTTCAGCGTGGCTTTCCAAAGATTTGAGCAGTTTTATTCCCTTACTTTCGCTTTTAAAAAGTGCGAAAAGTGGTTTGCGGAAGCTGGATCTCAAAGACGTTCTCAATCTAAAACAAGAAATAAAATTGTTAGAAATTAATATAAAAATGCACTACTAACAGTCAGAATTTTCATTTAGCCTGCGATTGCGTTTGCTGCTACTTCTGGAAAAAAGAAGCAACAAAAGCAAATTTCGGTTACTGACGAAATGACGCAATAGAAATTTGGGGGTTATTTTGGCATATGCACTTGTGAATGCGGTTTGTCCGGTGCATAAATACAGATTTCTGGTAAATATATACATCTGTATACATGTTTATATTCTGTTGCATCATTTTTTTACCTCAAGCATTATTTACATATACACATACATATATGTATACTCTTATTAATGTTCTTACTTTGTTCTGCCACACTTCCAAAACTCTACATCTGGACCGCTGCTTCCAGTCAAATCTTTTTAAGTTTCAGCTGCATTTTCCTCTGTTACAGATATGTAAATTCAATTAGTTATTAATATCCAAATTGCACAATTATATATGTATGTACTCACCAGAAAACAGAGAAAGAATCGCCTCCCAAGTCCTTTAATAGCGTTTACATTTTTCACTTTTTCACAAACACGTCTTTCGCCGCCAAGCGCCCGAAAAATTATGACAAAGTCTAGACAATGCAACTCTTTCTACCCCCACCCTTGCCACTGCAACGGACGAAAAGTAGCAAAGAAGAAGAAAAAGGGTGGACTTCTCTAAAGTCAAATGCGCTCAGCATCTAATATACACACACATTCACTTGTTTTGACCTGTCAACCACACACACATACACACATGTATTACATATGTATCCATTAATTGCGTCTTAAAATTTCGTTTGACTCTTCCTTGTTTTTAGGGCAATTTCAGAACATTTTTTTTGCTATTTTGTTCAACGTTTTAAGGCGATTTCGCCCTAAAAATAAGGAATTACTTTTGGAGTCGACTCATGAAAATTCGCCCTAAAAAACAGGGCAAATTGGCCTTTTGGAAAAACTAACCCTAAAAAATATTTTCCATGGCGATTTTTCGTAACTTTAGGGCTAGCCACCCGTATAATAAGAAAATTTTTCGTAGTTTTAGGGCGACCTCGGTTTTAGGGCGACTTTTCTAGTATTTAGGTAAAAATTTCTATGAGTGTATTTAAACCTTCGTTCAAATATAAAAATAATTAAATCGAAGGGAATTATATTTGAAACGATAATACTGATGTTGAAACCCAAAGTCGCAATAGTAGTTTTTATAATTATAAATAGTAAGTTATATACATAGTTTAATCAATGTCTTTTTATGATCCGATTAAATACTTTCACAACTTATCCGGAATATAAACGATTTATTTTGAATAAAAAGATTATTTGACACAATTATTTTGAAAGTCAAGATTCAAGATTCAATTAAATTTCCATAAAATGTATAAGTGAAAAGTAGCATTTTTATACCCGTTACTCGTAGAGTAAAAGGGTATATTGTATTCGTGCAAAAGTATGTAACAGGGAGAAGGAAGCGTTTCCGACCCCATAAAGTATATATATTCTTGATCAGGATCACTAGCCGAGTCGATCTAGCCATGTCCGTCTGTCCGTCTGTCCGTCTGTCTGTCCGTCTGTCCGTCTGTCTGTCTGTATGAACGCTGAGATCTCAGAAACTATAAAAGCTAGAAGATTGGCATTTTGCATGCAGATTTTAGGAGTTTCTACGCAGCGCAAGTTTGTTTCAAAATGGTGCCACGCCCCCTCTAACGCCCACAATCGCTTATATACGATTTTAAAAATTTTAATATTTTGGAAAAGTAAAAATGCAGTTTTATTGTGTTTATCAATACCTATCGAAATGTAGAAGAAATTTTTCAAATCGGACCATTCGTTAAAAAGTTATGCGTGATCAACGTTTTCTATCTCTATCTCCATCTCC